CGTTGCCCCTGGTCTTCACTACATCCAGTTTCCCAGCTTCCAATGACCCTCCCAGAGGTGGATGGTACACCCGAGCTCCATATGGCGGCGCGGCCGACCAACCCTGACCCTGCCGGAGGGTATTGCCTTCCCTAAGTCGGCTGTCTTCCCTTCCCATGCCTGGTCAGACGGTCCATTGATAAGCCTCAGGATCGTCTGACCCCCGAAAACGCGGATTCAGCACATCATACAAGCGCCCCGGAGCTTATTCGACACAGCGCTCGCACGCCTCTAGGCTTCTATGGGCTCTAAAAAGACTTTTTCTATTTAGCTCCGGACTTCCCAACATCCTCGAGGCGTACTCGGACCCATTCCGCGATTTATCTCCGCGCACCGAAGCTCCGGGGTGACCTAATCTATGCGACTTCTAGGTGAATTAGCTCCGGGGCCCACGGACACTTCCATCGAGGGGCATCATCCTCATTCCCACCCTCCAGCATACTCCCTCTCTCGTTTCCATCAAAATACCGAAGGTGCGGACGCATACGAGTCACCATAAGGTCAGCATCAGTCAGCAAACGGCCGGAGGTAATTAACACGTGACCGGCGTGTCGCACGGAGTGATGGGACCGCCTGGGTCAGGTGGCGAAGCGTCGAGGCGACCTATAGGGGCTGGAAAGAGCAAGTGGGAGCGCAAGAGAGTCGTATGGTATATGGTATAGCGGAGGAAAGTGCTGAGCAATCCTGTGGGTAGCAGCGTTTATTTGTTATTTATCTCCGAACGGTCGCAAAGCCATTCCTGTAGTATAAATTGTACAAAGTAGCATACAGAAAAACAAGTTTCGACTTCACCATCTCAGAGAATTAGTGTTACGATCTCAGCGACCCGAGAAGTTCGAAAGTGTCGAACCTAGCGAATTATAACCGATCCTAGCTTTGCCAATAGGCCTGACTCGTCGAGTGAATTAGCTCCGCCATCGATTCAATTAGCTCCAGTGAGTCTCACATAGCGAAATAAAATTAACCAAGTTTCTCTAGCAATTTCTACTCCCGTGGGCCCGAACCTACACTCGGTTTTGTGGTTTGCGACTTTGTCTGCGACTTTCCGGAGATAAATACTCCGGAGCGTCCCTTAGTGTTTGTTTCAGGCGTCAAGGTTTTGTTTTGTTTTTCTAGGTCTTCCTACGGATTACCCTACGGCGTCTTACTCCTCCTTTCCCCCTCGAACTATTAAATACCCTTCAGTTGTCTCGGACCGCCTTCACCCATATCACGGGGTTTAGGTTTATTTCTTTTGGTCCTTGGTGATTGTTGTGTGTCAGTGCATATCACCGTACTGCCGATTAGCCGCCGTGTTCTCGAACTAGGCGATGGAGCGTGGTCCTTCAATGGACGGGAAGCCCTCTCCCTCAAAGCAGTCAGTTACTCTGAGGTGAGGCGTATCAACGCTTGGATGTCTGGATTCACTGATGTTAAGCCAGTAATAAAAGAGTATAATGACAAGCATACAATTGGAAGCTTAAGCAATTCATCAGCCTGTCTCTGCCCCACATTTGTGACAAGCCAATGGGCCAGTGACTAATCATCCTCATCCTCAAATGGGCCCCAAGGTCCAAGCTTGCCATTCTGTTGCAATTCCTGAAGCAGCTCAAAAGGGATGTCACCCTTCTTTATTGGAGTTCCAGCTCCCCCAGGAAATGCCTCAACAAAGCGAAGGTGAGTAGTCTCGGTAGAGCTTGGAGGAACCATCGATTCTGCGATTTCGGAGGTCAGACAATAGTGGAGGCTTATCAATGTGTCTGCTGGTTGCCCACAGCCCAATTGTGTCAAGCGACCCTTTCGCGTACCTCGCAGTAATGCCTCTGATGGGAGGTCCGGTCGCATCGGGTGCCTCGTCAGATGGATCAGGCTGCAGCGATGAGGTAGCTTTACTGCACCCCCATGCAAACACGTACAAATATACCATATTGAGAAGAATGACACGTGATGCCGGCAAACGCGGGCTTCCCGCTGTCAGCAGAACTTGCAATTGATATAATACCACCTAGATGTCTCTAAGCGGTGCAGTCGTCAAGTTCCCAAAGAGAATGCTGGATTTGTTGTTGGTCGAGCAGTTCCCTTGTGTTTGATGAGGGAGAGTATAGGCTTTATAGAGGTTAAGACTCTTTGTTTCAATCTCCAGATAAATAAACAAGCAAAATAGCTGACTGCCAGAGTCTAGCTGAGGATGAGGGTAGAGAGCAAACACAGGTGACCAGAGGTCTATGACTAGACTTCCAACACCAGACCTAGACTGAAGTATTTCTCACGGTAGAGAAACAGACTAGCTGTCGCAGACAGCAGACAGTACTGCAACTCCTTCCCTTCTCTGAGGTATCACACATAGCTGAAGTCCAGACTAACACTGCTTGTTCCAGCACTTTGTGGAACCAAGACAGTACAGATGCACACGGTAGCACAACTGTCTCTGAGGCTGACTTGAACCAATGAGGCTCTCTGGCATTTAGAGGGTCTCTTATTATTATTGGGGGTCTCTTTTTAAGACTGTCTACTGAGCTCCTTATATACCCTACAGTGATTTGAGATTCATAACAATAGGGTGGGAGAATTGCCTGGTTACTAGGCAACATAGACAATAGTGTGAGAGAATAGTGTACAATAGTGTGAGAAAATAGGGTGAGTCAGCTAGCTTGGGGACTTGTGATTGGTCCTTGAGCATAGGCTGAGTCAACATGACTCATCTCTATAAATAGAAGGGAATAGCATGAGTCATATTGACATAGAATGAGTCATATCCCCATAGCATGAGTCATATGTAAGGGAGTGAGTCATAAAGGCATGGGATCAGTCATATGGACATAGAATGAGTCATATCAAGGGAAAACAATGGAATGTCTCAGATCCTCCCAGAATATTCTGCACCCTGAATATTCTCACAGTCCTCCTGCTTTGATGCTGTGCCGAAATTGTTCTCCTTGCAATAGCAAGTGTTTTGCATGATCGAAGTCAATGTTGTATATGTCTTCATTGTCGATTCCCAGCCAGTTATTGAAGATACTGTCCACCAAACCTTCCATTACGATCTGTATATTCCAAATGTAGTCGCTTGAAGCTGGTACTTGTGGTACACGTGCAGCGACAGCTTAGTTTGGCATTCGAACGATCTCCTAGTCTGAGACCGCCATGCGCGTGTCCAGCCATTTAGAGTATCTTCAAGTCTGGACTAAGAGGGTCACATAGATGGGGCAAAATAAATTTTCATTAAAATCTATATAGATGTGATACATGTGGCTGACAAGGTAAATATAAAAGCCAACAGGAAGGAAAGTTAATAAACCCTAACCCTAAAAGGACAAATCAGAAAATGTGCACAGGTAGGAATTGAACAACCGACATCCAGCACTCAATATATGCCACATAACCATTACACTAAGAAAGCAATACAAACCTTACACATCAGAATAATATGATGGCAATGTAATGGGTGTTTACTTAATACGGCTGGGTCCAGTTATTTTTAGTGACACGGCCGGAGGGGTCAGAGGTCACATGATATTCTTCTTGAAAAGGTAATATTTTGTTGTGTTTACGTGGGGGCGCAATAGCAAAGACGGCAGCAAGGCCTTATTTAGGTGGTAAGCTGCACAGCCACCTACATTCGGAGTTTAGTGACTCCAACTGACTCGCCACACAAAATGAATCAGGCAGACTGATTTGCACTGGTGCATTACCTGAACAGTGCAGTTTACATTTACAGTTCCAGGGGCTACAAGTAATTGATACAAATGAGAATCCACTTTATCCGAGAATCCAACTGGTTGCTCTCGCTACGCAGACCAAGCAAAATCCTCCATCAAACCTGATTGGGAATGACCTCCACCTCTGCTATGGAGTTCATGAGGTTCAGATTATTCCTCTTCGCCAAATACCACCCCTCAGCTATATCACTGTCTGCGGGAGTCCCATCCGCCCTGAGTAAGCACAATACCCGTGTACTCGCATATGCTGTTTGAGGTATGATCTGCTGCATCCCTTGTTCATCCCCAGATAAATCAGAGTCAGGGTGATAATTCTCATCTTCATTGGAAGACAACGGCGACAAATCACTTTTTTGGAAAGCGAAGAGTTTCCAGAATTCACCAATGCAAGCATAGGCTACAATCGTGTCCAGTGATTCTACCCCGGCTTTGAACGCATATTGAACTTGAGTCATGACCTGGCATTCCATCACCGTTATCTTTGCGTCAATGAAGTCGAGCAAGCTGGCTAGTGTACCGTGCCGTTGCTTGAGAGGAATGCCCTTGTTCTCCACGACTACCAGCAAGGTCCAGTTGACCGTCCGTATAAAGCCTCTGTGCATCACAGCAAGCTTACGAACAACCAGACCTATGTCTGGGATTTGCATCCTCGTCTTCTCTTCGTTGTTATTTGTCATCACCTGGCGGATGAGCTGGTTTTGGGGCCATATGTTGGCGAGGGCCTTGTCGCCCGCTTTCAACAGCGCTTGCACTATTGCTAGTGTGTAGCACCTGTACCACGGGCTTTCCAGTCCACTTTGCCAAGCCTCTTGTACGCTTTTATATAGGTTATGGGGGTATTTGCTCTGGAGAGCGCGATACTATGGATCACCTGCTGTGGATGTGGGGTGCAGTAACAGAGCCATGATGGAGATTTGTAGTATGCTGAGATATTCTAAGGTTATTGGTTGGTGTAGTAAGAGCATGTTGCGCAGGCCACGAGGTTCTCTATACAAGTCCTAGTCGTGGTCTCATGTCTGGATGTCTTGGTATATATAGTGGCTTTGTAGGCAACAATACCCATACAGGTGGTACAAGAGGTACATACATCTCTGTTATCACCATTGATGAAGAGTTATGGAGGCAGCAGCATGCACAGTGTGCCCTACACAACTCACCTGTATTGGTTTAGTGATGCCACGGTCTGGCTCGGTCCGGTTATTGACCCAAATTTCCGGTCCGAGGTTCGAACCGGTTCTCCCAGGTTCGGGAACCAGACTGCGGCATCACTAATCATTGGTGTACTGTCTGATGGTGATCCACATTTGGTCAATTTATCGCCCAAGTTGGCAATACATTACTGGGAAGGTTGGGAAGGTTGAGTGATCTCACTCGATTAGGCCTCATTCTGTCCCGAGTTGGCCCACCATCAGCTCGGCCCAGGAATAATCCTATTCTACTTTTTTCGTGGGGAGGCCCATGGATTTGCAACTCGCTGCAAATTAGAATCTGAAGATGAGACACGTCGCATGACTTGTAAATGAGTCCTAGCGATCGTGACAGCTGTTTGCAGTTCGATGGGCCCATTTCTCGAAAATCATTTACATTCGAACCATGTCGGAGAGGGAAATTCAAGACCGCAAGACCCCAATATCAGACCACTTGGACTTCTTTTAATTTCTGGGATGTCCCTGGCACCATGTCCAACACACTCCAACTATATGTGACTTTCTGAAGTGATGGCCTATCGATCTGCAAACAGCTGGAAACACCATACCTTATAGTGTTCCCATGTGGCGGTGTTGTAAGCCTGCTATATATAGGCGCAAAGCGGGTCCACTAACTACCTTTCCCCAGAAACTTGCAATCATTACACTCCATCTCAGGTGAGTGAATTCTTCAACCGCTATGATATATGGATATTCGATATCTATAGTGTCATTCAGTAGACTCGCATTTATGCAAAGCATGACTGAGCCTGCAAGCGGTTTGATCCTCACGCGAATAGATGAGGAACGGATGAAGGTGGGAGTCCCTTGCAGCTGAGACTGGACTGTACCTAACCGAAAGCCCATCAGCGAGAAAATATTAAGAATGAAATCAAGCAAGCGGTGGAAGCCGCGCGCAGGATATACGACCCATCCAAACGCATCGCCGGGATCACACCCTCATATGGGTATCCGGTTACTCCCGAATGGATCCTGCAATTCACCTATTCGCACATCTGGACGGATGGTCGCCCAGCAGGTGGGTTTCCCGAGTTAGAGGTCGGCGAAGCCGCCGCCGAGACAGTCCGAGTCCTCAGACGTACGGCGCGTATCAAGTACATGTTCCTCATTCCGTACGAGCTCAACCACACTCGATATTTCTTGGAATTATGCCACTTCGACGAGCTGGACAAGCGGTGCCCACCGCTGTTTACCATTACATGGGTGAAGGACCTGTTAGGGCGTCAGGACGATCCCGTGTGGGAGTATAACCTAGGTTCTGACAAATTTCGATGCATCTCCTTTTGATGGCAGTGCGACCGAGAAGGATTTCAGTGCTGGGTAGTATCAGGCTAGGCGATAGGTTCAATACAGACACAAGCAGCGTCGTATGTGTGCATCTGCTGCCTTGATCTCCACAATCGCAAGAAAGCGACCCTCCACGTTGCGCCACTAGCCAGTTGTGGGATCCTGTTCTTCCTTGTATGCCACCACGCCTAAGTCTGTAAACTTCCTTTTATCCCTTGGCTTATCCTCGTCATCGACAATGGGACGGAGAGGATTGAGAGCGTATTGTGGCTTCACAACTGCTTCTCCTCCGACAACATGCATCAATGCTTCTATCCAAGGCTCATACCAAGGGCGCTCGAAGCGTTGCCTCTGTGCATCGTAAACCGCCCGCAGAACGCAGAGTTCATAGACAGACAGCGGCAGAATCTGCGGGCTGAATGAAGTCATGAGTCAGTAACGTTAAGGAGGGTGCGGGGTAATGAGAGACAGACTTTGCATTTGGCTGATTTGACATAATTAGTTGATATTGTTGCTACGATAACTTACGCTACAGCCGCGTTATATAGCCAGAGTCCGTTTACCTGAAACGGTTGAACTGAGATCGATATAAGAAGTAAATATGAAAAAGCCACAGTACATCTGCACCAAGACAAAAGTAACTGCTTTTACGAATATGACGCCGAGCGAAGTCGGCACCTGTCAGTCCTTAGAACACAAGAGGGCCTTCTAACACCATGTCGGGTCCAGGACCGGAGCGTCGGGTATCATATACGCCCCTGGACAGTGGTGCTGATCGTGCGTGTGTAATGCTGGCCTGACATTCGCATAAGAACAAGAAGGGTGGGACGTAAATAGGAGAAATACAGGACAAGGGAAAGAACCGCTGGACTGAGGAGGGGCAGCGTGCTCCGCGCAAATCCGGTCAGTAAGACGCGAAACAAGCTATGGCGATTGCAAAGGACAAGGACGATAGTGAAGCCCGAGTCTCTCGTTCAAGTCGCCGGAAAAAATCAGATGCTGATGTCGTAGATGCATTATAATGCGCGATATAAGCAGAAAGAGCAACATGTTACGCGACTTACCCGAGCCATCACTCAGGGGGGATGTAACAGACCGCGACTGTAACGGCTAGGCTAGACCGCAACGTATGTTTGAGGCTATTGAAGGAGCTGCAATATGAAACGGTAACAGACGCAGGCACCACGAAACCTTTAACTCCCCGACATTGGTTTTTCAATGCAAAACTTCAAGCACTCGCGCCACAGCAGCGCTGTAGGTGTGGCCACGACAGGTCCCCCTCATCCCGACCTCCTACCAAGAGCAACAGAGCCCTCTGTTCTCCTGAGTACCGCGATCTCGTGCTTTTGCGGACGCCAGCATAAGGCTCCGCCTCTGAGAAAGCACCAGCGAGTCGAAAAAGCAGGCAAGCGTAGCAAAGGATCTACCGATCAAATCCGAGAATGTTGAGGATCTATTGCCATATGCATCATGTAGGTCGATATTGTACAAGATGAAATTGACGTAGATGTATACGTATTAGTAGGCGTCCGACGGTGTGTGTGTTCGACGAGGGGGAAACGACCAAATAATGTAGTCCTCTAAATCTGGCCATTGGCGCTGACAGAGTAGCACGTCGAGAGCAAATCTCAATGTGCAGACCAAGTCAGAAGGGCCCCTGTATCTCGTGAATCGTCCCAACAAAGGGTGTCGGGCTTGGTGTCCAGCGAACTTGGGCGAAAGCAGATCCAGTGGCTGTGTAGCGGAAATTGACTTAGAGTCTCTCTGAGGATCATCGACGCGAGGTTTGTTAGCGACGGTCATTTATGTGGTTGGGAACAAGTGGCAGAGTCAGAGTCTGCTACTCGATATTACCCCTACAGCTCGTACTGACCTTGAAGATTCAAGATCGAGTCATGCGTAAACCACATTTCATTATCCAATTACGTAGTTGACGTACCCCACATTTCCAAGTCGCGGTATCCTTCGAGGTTCTAAACTACTGTTTAACATGTCTAGCACCACTAGTAAGAGCGTACACTGGAGTGATACTGTCAAGGTGAGTGTCCTTATCAAACATCCGTCAGTTGTCCGGCTGATTCAAGTTGACTCCGTTGAGGAGGAGGTTGAAGCCGAAAGGAAACGCTCCCGTGAAGTGGCCATCGAAGCACTCGAAGCGACACCGAGACCTAATTGGGCCTGTTATACCATGGTGTACGGATATCCCGTCACCACTGAATGGATCAAGAAGGCTGCAAAAGAGAAAGGCGTCAAGACAGACAGCTTCGGGGGTTGTGCGGACTGCATACGGCACATATTGCGGAGGAAGTCTCGCATCAATGAGCTGCAGCTCTGCGCTCCGAATATGTATGCAAGGCCCTCGAACCCCGATGACTGGCTTATCGCCTTCGGCGCTGACTACCACCTCAAAGAAAAGGGGCGCTGGCCCACGCTTGCTCAAATTCAGAAGGTACGGAAGTTGATCCGCGGGGAAGGGAGGCCTATCTGGGTACCTGTGGCTCGCGGCTGGATCAGCATATGAACTGTAAATACGGTCGATGTTAGAAATGTGACGCCCCATAAGTGTTTCTTCGTGGCAAAAATGGAGGATGTATGCCCGCATCTCATACAGCAGCACGTTCTTCTATTGTCGTTGCTCGTCCCGCAGTGTAAAGCGGTCTGATGGATCATGGGTGCCTCCCATCACGCTTTGATTCGAGCTCACTTCGTCACAAAATGCCCTCCCATAATAAACAGCTCACTTAGTCACCAATTACATAATTGTTTCTACCTCACTTCCAGGTTTCGTGTTTCTGAGCTACTAGCAACATGTCAAGCACTACTAAAGTGGTACACTGGAGCGATACGGTGAAGGTCAGTACCTTTGCCAAGACCAATCGTTTCTCTCGCAGCTGATGGGACACTCCGCTATATCGTAGCCTCCATCTGAGGATGTGGACATGGAAGCTGAGAGGAGACGCTCCCGCGAGGTCGCCATTGCGGCCCTCGAAGCAACAGAAAGCCTCTCGGGAACTATACCATGGTTTACGGATATCCTGTCACAGTGGAATGAATCATGAGGGCTGCTAAAGAAGAAGGCGCGAAAACGGATCGGTTCGGGATTGCTGCGGACTATGTCTTGCGCATATTGCGGAGGAAGTCCGGCTTCAGGGAGCTGGAGGTGTGCGCCCCGCGCATCTATGCCAACATCAACCCCAACTCGGAGGACTGGCTTATCACCTTCGGCACTGCTCGCCACCTCGCGAACAAGGGGCGGTGGCCTACACTTGCTGCGATAGAGAAGGTACGGAGGATGATCCGCCCGAAGGGGAAGCCGATGTGGGTGCCTGTATGGGGTGCCCGTGAATACGGACAATGTCAGCAGTACCGGTTTGATGGTTTGCGAATGGTTTTTGAAATAGTATTTGAACTCTGGTACCACTGTTACAGAATCAACAGCAACGAGGATGCACCTAGCATCTCTCTTCCTTAGCTTTCATATCTATCGTGAATAATGTGAGGGTGTGTGGCATTTACCTGGCTTGTTAAGTCGAGGCAAGTGACGAGAAACAGACCTACTCCGAATGGTATGGATCATGCGCGATCATTGCAAGAGGTATGTATAGACTCACCCGAGGGCAAGGGACGTTCGCCCGGGAAGATACAAGAATAGCGGGGGCATAATTATGCTCAACTCGCCGTCGATACTTGCTTGATGCTTACGGATATTTGCAAGCTTTCGCGTTGATCTATAACTCCTGGAGCTCTCCCTCCGCACTGTTCACCATGAGACAGTCACAGGGTATCCTGAAGGTTCACTTCATCGGTTCGTTTACGCACAGTATATGTGAACAACCTGTACGTGTAGATCCGCCCTGGAAGCTGCAGCAGAGTGATACCCTGCCCGCATGAAGAGAGAAGATCCGACTAGCCCAATCCTAGCTATTCTAGTCCTTATCTATAGGAGAGGAACGATGGTGGAAGCGCTATACTTCCTTGTTAAAGAGGGTAGGGAGACGGGAGATTTGGAACGCGCATGGGACGTAGCCCAGGATGGAAGAGTGCGGGAAAACTTGAAGGGAAGCAGCTCGACATACAAAGCTGGAAATATCTGGGCATTTCTTGATACTGATTAACATTTGCGCCACACGCGGAAGCATTCCAGCTAGTCCTTCCGACGCATGAGACTGCGTATACCGATCCCTTACCACTTGTGCTCACTGCTCACCTAAACCCACGGTGGTGGCTGGTATTCAATGGTCCACGGATAACAACAACCTATCTGCCTCGACTATCTAATCGGCTGCACACTGACATTACACTGCCTTCCTACTCTCTCCCAAGCACTCCGGACTCGGAGTCGATCACACCGAGTTGACGACCGAAGAGCGCCTTTCTCCTCGTCACTGTCAGCATGCCAAGCTGTTAATCTACGAGTACATTCGCACGTCGCGATTCCTTTGAGCTGTGAGTCTTCCATATTCTCTCTATTTGTACACTCATGATGCTGACTGAAACGACCTCCTCTACTGAATGTCAAGCTCGTCCAACCACTTCACGATATCGTTCTCCAACCCCTCGAGGGCGGGCCCCAACCTGTCCATCGTGTCCGTCGGGATGCGCACCCACTTTATCTGGTCCGCGCCCTCCACCGACTTCATCTGCTCGAACTCCTCGTCGGTCATACCCCCGCCGACCACAGATGCTTTGGGTTTCCTCAGGCTCGCTGCACCCGTCTTCATCAGCCTCCTCTTCCAAACCTCTGCAGCGGCGAAAGAACTCACCCGACCCGACATTCGTTCCTACCCCGCTCGACACTGCATAGCTCTCCCCCTTTATGACCTTCGGGAACTCGTCCGCGAACGCCTCCGCGCTGAAGCAGAAGTGCGCGATCTCGTACTTGGGCCGGACACCGTTGAGCAGCCGCCGCGGGAGATCGGGGTGCGCGACGAGCTGGGGCTTTCCGGTCACCATGATGGGAATGGCCTCCGTCGACATTGCGTTTGTCGTCCGTGTGAGTGGCTCTGGTTATGTTTCGGTGTTGTTTCGATGTCGATGCTTGTCCACAGCCCTCAGCCCGCCTTCTATATATGCGCCCATGTCCGCACTCGCGGGCATCCTCGCCCTCGGCGCTCCTCACGCCTCTTGACGCGTCCGCTGATGCCGCTCGCAGCCCGATCGCGTCGAGCGACCCTTTCGCGTCCCTTGCAGTCATGTCTCCGGTGGGAGGGCCGATCGGATCGGGTGGCTCGTCAGCCGGATTAGGCTGCAGGGATGCCTTACGTGGTAAGCCACACAGCCACGTCATTCTTCGATCGACCGGAAGAGCCTGGGTTGATGGCTTTATTTAGACTGCGGCGCACCGTTCTCCAGATCTGGTCTGCCAGTCTCGTTTGCCTAGTTCATGCGCTGAATGCTCGTCCCAGAGGGCCTTGTTCCGAGCTCTTCTATCGACTCCATAACCTGCATCTGGGGAAAGCACCTATCTGGATTACAGCTCGTCTACGATGGGGTACGAGTCCCTATAATGTCGGTCTATTCATGGCAAAGGCATCGGCCAATGCCACCTCGACGAGCGCGGATCCGTATCGTTCAACTCGTGTGGGCGCTCGCGCGTTACGGGCCTATCCTAGAACGTTGTACCAGTACCGAACTGTTAGTTGTCATATCCATCTCGCGTATTATACTGAGGTCAAAGTAATAGCTCAGCGCGCGCGAGTCGCTTCCGCTACGTATCCTTGATGTTTTACCGAACCCGAGGTTGTAAACGGAGGCATCGTATCCATTAAATGATGCGCCGTTTGCGAAGGACCGGGTATGGCACCTCCCTAAGCCGCGTCCCTGACCCAGTTTGCGCCGTTTCGAGATATAGCTCTGGATACTGAAGGAGATGTGAGCCACATCTTGGAGAAGCCCCAGAACCTGGGCAGATACACTTTTGATTGCCCAATGAAATGTTAATATCATCGTCATGGGCGAGCGCCACGAGTGGCGATGTCTACGGTGTATGCTCTGCCGTGGCGTCGTTCCAAGATATCCAGAAATCTCTCAGCTCAAAGGAAGCGTTCTAAGGCGAGAAAGTGAGTACCTTTAAGCGGCGCACCGGGATAAATTGTTCTGACGCTGAATGCAAACGTACTGGGCGTAATTACACCCCGTCCTGAGCAAACTCGCGTTTACACATGTTCCGCCACCATACACCCCACGTGGCATCGGAATCATGGGGGTATGTACCTGGTAAACGCGAAGGATGCAGAGATGGTAGTCGGGAAGTCAGTCCTACGAAGATTCCCTATAGGTTCGAGAACAAGTGGCACTTGTGGCGCACATTGTGTGGCGACCAGCGCTGTGGCGTAGGGACTCGTGCCATCCGGCTGCTGTGGCAAGACAGTACAAGTAGACGGTTTATCTCCCAAGTCGGCACTAAAACGGCTCTGCCGCAACCCACACACATTCAGAATATTGTGAGTAAAGGCGCTTCGATTCTTTTACTCCCCCGTGGAATGCTGACCTCGGGGTAGTCATACACCATGCAGATGCGCAGCAAGGAAACTTGCTCTGGCTGCCGAGCCACCGATGTGGACAGCGACACCGTGGCCAGCGCTGATCCACCCGTGAATCAATGTGATTTTGTGTATAGAGAGGACTCGGATGGTTGGTACCACTATGTCAAGGCCTGGGACTGCGGAAGGCCCGACTGCGTGCACTCGCAAAACTACGGAGGCCGTAGAGGCGGTTGACCGTGAGCTGAGTCCTTTGGCGAGCACAGATAGAAAACTCACATCTCTTGCGCGGAATGTTAGGCCTCAGTCTCCCTCTGCAAAGTCGCTGACTGATACGAAGGCGCGTGAGGATGAATCGATTTATCGTTTATTTGATGTCGATGATCTACCACCCGGTGCCCTCTAGTATCGTCTGTGCGCGGGGAAATTGGTGGATGACGGCTAGAGTCAAAAGCTCAGAGCCGTATCTGCTCTAGGTTCCAACCAATGGAATGTAGTATAAGAGCGATATATATACATGATTGTGGAAAGAGAAATTCGAATGTGTGGGCGCACCGTCACATGGTCTGACTTCCTGACCACGGCCCATGTCGATGTCTATGGTGTGCGGTCCTGACCCTGAACCAACAGAGATTATCCAGCTTCCATGAAGGAGAGAGCACTGGAAGTCAGGTACGGTACGCCGAAGCTGAGAGAATGACCACCTTTCCTGGACCACCCATAGACTGCCCCCGCGGCCTTCAGCTGGTCCAAGTCGTTCAGTTGGATGCCATAAAGAATTAGCAGATAATGGTTTCCATCTTTCTTCTGCCGACGATCGCAAAAGTCAATTGATTTTATCAAGAATAACAGCATAATTTGACGAGCAGCGCACACATGACTGACGATGGACACGTACGGTGAGTGATGGAACTGGCTCCGATATCCATTCTGAGGCTCCCACATTAATTGCGATCGCACTGCATTTGGCTCCATAGTTCCGAGACCTAACCATGACATCACGGTTCCTCGAATACTTACTCTGTGGCCCATGGGTATCCCTGCAACAGTGAAGTCGCTATATTGCCTGATCGGTCCTTGCATCTGCAAGACGCGTCGCAAGTCCATCTCCTATCATATGCGTCAACTGCGCGCGGGGCAAGGACATCTACTGCAGGTCTGCATCAGCCATTCCTCTCATTATAAGCTCCAGGTAGTGTCTCGCCAACTTCCCTTCCTATGGCCTGCAGTACCGAGGCTTCATGATAGTATTACACCGATATATCCACGATGCACCAACAAAGACAGATCACGCCTGCTGCACTTCATCGACACCCTAGACTAGGTTAAGCTCGTCCAGTCGCGCCAGAAGCTCTCTCTCAAGGCCATCGAGCCGCGGACCCAACCTCGCCATGGTATCCATCGGGAGACGAACCCACTTCATCGTGTCTGTGCCTTTCACCGCTTTCATCCTCTGCACGTCTTCGTCTGATATCCCCCCTCCGACGACGGCTGCAACTGGTTTCCTCGGGTTCTCTGCGAGAAACGTTGAGTCAGGCCTACTCTACAAAAGTGGGGGTAAGTATGCGTACCTGACCCGACACCACTGGACGGCGGGCCCGCCTCGCCGCTCACGATTCCCGGAAACTCCGCTATGAACGCGTCGGCGCCGAGACAGAAGCGCACGACCTCGTACCGCGGCTTCAGGTTCGCCGCGAGCTCCGCCGGACGTTCGGGGTAACCTGGGAGGGGCTTGCCGGTGATAATAATTGGGATAGGTTGACTGGACATGGTGGAATAAGGGTCGGTGTCGATGGTGCGTGTAAAAGGGTAGTCGAGCTGTCTCTTGTGCGGATTGTGGGTGTGATGTCGGATGGAGGTGACAGTCTGCCCGCTCATATTTATACCGCATGTTTTCGGAATTCGGACGCAGCTTGGCTGGAGGTGTAGTCAGAGGCATGTCACGTACCCCCTGTTCTTCGTCATTTCGTCATTCTAGAAGCCCATTTACGCGCCGAGACCTAAAGGGTCGTCACGCGCCTGTCACGTGATATCAGGGAGTCTAACAAATCCGGTGCGAATTCGGAATACTGCTCCAGAGGTCGTGATGATCCCTGCTTGATATCCGAATGCATGGTAAGTCGCTGAATAATGAGCAGGAAGGTAACCCCATGCGTCTATAATTTCTGTAGTAGTCGAAGAATACACGTTAGACGTGTACTATAGCGAAGTGCCGTTCGGAGCTGAGCACAGTCACGACTCACGAGGCTCTTGCTGACAGAAGAATTCCTGGATTCATGTAAGAGCGATGTGAGTCTCCTTCTAGTTTATGGGACCACGGGAGTGGAATAGATGGACGTCGATGGACGGCCAGGATGCTATGTCGCAGTGGATGGTATGATAACGATCGAGGGTGCATCACGTGCTACCCTAACCCTGGCGCATTGCGGGACGCAGAGATATTTGTTTCGCGTGGTACAATTACTTATCATCATATACGCTCTCAGATAACCAATCAGCCAGGAGAAATACCGATACTTGTGAGTTTGGACGACTGCCACCACGCCTAGGGCATGAACAGTCTTTTCTGTAGCTTACAGATGCATCAGAGTCCTTATACCCAGTAATCCTGTGGCGTATGTTAGTTCACACAGGTAAGCAGTAATGCTATTTGTTCCGGACGTACAAGCTTCATTCTGAATTGACACCTTCTCATCATCAAAATTGCCGCACGGACCTCCGGCGAGCCACCTCTCAATCAAGCGCAGCCCATAGAAATCGTTCTCTCTCTTTGATACCCTCGCATTGTTCGACCACCCAAATGTACCACCGCTGTAACCCATATCCTCCCCCTCCCTCGCGCACGAGCCGAAGTCGATGATGACCGCCACATGGTCGTCGTCGAACATGATATTTGCGGGATTCAAGTCGTTGTGCACGTATCCCAAGGAGTGGATGTGTTCGAGTCCGCTCCGGATATCCCGGATGGCGGAATCTTTATTGAAGCCGTCGATTACATTCCTATTGGCCTCATACAGTGTGTATCTGTATTTCTTGAAACAGAGGCCAGATACCAAGGTGCCGGTGGAGTCGCGCACGCACCCGTAATATGTGCATATGTTGGGGTGCGGCAACTTCTTGAAGTGCTCCCATAGTTCTGCCTCCATCAGAAAAGCTTTGCCTATGAAGTCGGTACCGTTCCATTCGACGAAAGTGGGCGACTTCACATAGACATCGCCGGGAAGAGGACTGGGAGCATCTGTAAGTCCGGCATGCCATTTTCCCCATATGTGGTTGAAAGGAACGGGCTCGGGCTTTTCGAAGGCCTCTAATACGTCTTGGTCAATTGGCTTATTGACACCAGGGAATCGCTGTGGGTGATTAAGGAGATAATATCTTCCATTTTCTTTCCAACCGATGGCCGTGTAGGCAAATTTGGGGTCGTCGTAACCGTCGAAAACCTCGTTAGTGAAGAGTAGCTCTCGCATCGCTCTCCGTGGAGACGAAGGGAAAGACAGCAAGCACCGCGATCAGACGCCACACGAGATGGAGTGTCAGATTCGTCGCGAGGTTCCCACGTTAAGTCCCTCTTCGGTAAGCCAGATGATTTCCACTGCAACTCGTGGTGTCCATTGATAGCGGAGATCCTGCGATCAGGACCATCTCATGGCCTCTGACTCCGGAAGATGGACAGTACTGCTGCCTGCAACACCAAGGGCAGCAGAAAGAAAAGATTAGTCGACCTCGGGTCTACGTAAAAGCCACTGTCAGTACCACTCTATCGTGTGCTGTATACCTGCCCTGACGCACTGGCCTCACTGAAGAAACTGTTGTCAGCACTGAACATCCTCTTAGTAACCCTTCGGCACCATTGTAGCCTTCTGCAGCTTCCCAACACATCATGGTTCGAAGCACCTTCGGACTCCCAGAAGTTTGTATCGGGGCTCCGGTGGCTCAGTGGATATGCCAGTCCGGTCCTGGGTTTGCTTCAGCAAGCGCCGGCCTTCAGTCACAGGTCGCGGGTTCGAATCCCGCAGGAACCATCAGGGAGTTTTAGTGGGTATTGCGTGTTTAGCTGAGTCCCACAGTACCGTGGGAAATCCTTAATGTCAAAGGCTCTTTCTCACGCGTCTGCGTAAATGCATTTCTTCCTGGAGAGTTAGCGCTCTTCCGCTTATGGTCCGCTACATACTAGATTAGGGCAATGTGTCCCTAACTGGTGCAAGACCCCTGCGCTATGTGCCCGACTGCTTGAGGCTGTACCGATTGTCAGTTGTCAAGTATGTCATTGTGCCTCTCAAAAAAAAAAAAAAAGAAGTTTGTATCAACATTCAGCTCATGTTGTACATTTCGATCTCACGGCTACATAACGTACACATCACCGAGTTACAGAATCACATCTATCTACAATATCCATGTCAATATCCCTCACGTCTACACACCGCAGACATCGTTCAATACTTCTCCGATGCCGTTGGCAGGGTTCAGGATCCCGAATTGCGTGCTAGGCAGCTCATGTACTTCAACGCGTTCACTTGTCCAACCCCAGTGCGCGCGACGCTTCCTTGATAGGCGGCTTCGTCGCAACCTCACTCTTGGCCCGGATCAACACCCTACGGCTGCTGGGCCACGCCTTCTTCAACTCCTCCGTGAGATCCTTGGACGCGCGGATGCTCATTGTGACTGTGATGCGTGAGTTCGGTCGAACCACGACGAAGAGTCGTAAGTATACAATAGACTCACAGTGGGCAGCGTAAGCACGGCAGAACCGCGCGACCCATTGAGCCCCGGATTCCCCCATCTCCTTCTTCGTGAAGTGTTCTTCGAATTGGCCGATGACCTCCTCTGTGTCGTCCAAGGAGCCGCTGGTGGACATATCCGTGACAACGCCCATGATCTCCTCGCGCAGCTTGTTGTCGAGGAGGTTCTGGCTGGACCATCTACGGAACTCGTCGCGGATGAAGAGAATAGGAGTTGAGTCGATCATGATGAGAGGCTCAACGATTTTGCCAGCATCGCGCAGCTCCATGGCAATATACAAGGCCAGGTAGGTACCTACAAATACCACGTCAGCGATATGCTTGACACCGGACACACAACTACACTCGCCGAACGAAAAGCCTGCTAACTGGTAGGGCCCATGAGATTGCTTCTCACTAATTTTACCGCAGTAGAACCGTGACAGAACATAGATCGTGCCGTTGATAGGAGCCTCCGGTGTATCCTGGACTCCGTAGACCGGGCACTGGACCTTCTGGGTGAACTTCCGCATCACCGATATGCCTCCGCCCGCGCCGTGCAAGATGAACAGGGGGTTACCATCTAAGACTCCATTCAGTTTCACGACAGTCTGGCTGACATCATCTCCAAAGACGGCCCCACCGTCGCAGCTGCGGCCGAGGCAGCCGCGTTCTGCTCCTCATGCATTTCCTCGAGCTTTCTCACTGCATCATATCTCCAATATCAGCTTTACGTGCGACACGCCGTCTCCAGACCACTTACCAGTCATATGGCTGCTCAGCAACTGCATCTGTGTCACAGAACTTCTGTTGTAGCAACCCGCTGAGCCGGACCGAGGTCAGGGAGTCCAGCCCATAGCTGGCAAGGGGCACGATGTCCTCAAGTTCGTCGACTTCCATCGACAGCACGGACGCGCATGTCCCTCGGATCGAGCTCTCCTTCGCTCCGTCCGCTGCCCTATTCTCGCTGGATTCCTTGACGAGCAAATGGCGGACGAAAAGCCTGTCGTCCGGCGGTACGACTGTAGTTAGCACGTCAAGAGGAATATTGATATACAAAGGAATAGAAGACTCACTGTCATGACACCGCGCCAGACGAGAGGAGGAATAACTGCAAGGGAGCTCGTCGCTTCGCCCTCAACTGTACTGACTTGCCAGCGCGGGCAGACAATCACCGTGCTCGGCGGCTTGTACGCAATGCCAACCACACTTCATTCAAATATTGAGCGATTCACGCATATGCGAAACCACGACGACTTACCGCTTTCCCACCAGCGTCGCGTCGGAAGTGCCGGAGCCTACCGCCGTCACCACTCCCGTGAACTCCGTGACGTCAGAGAACAGTGGACGAACGTTTACATAGTCAACTGCAACTTCGACGTTGTGAGCCCCAAAAGGTTGCGGGTATGTACGCCACACCGTCTTCCAATCGAAGGCCAAGGGTTTCGACTGCGCGGGTTCTGTTTGCGGAGGACTTAGGGCTTTGATGACTCGGGGAACCTTCAAGTTACAGTCCGCGTCAACTTGGACCTCAAGAGTCGAGGTAGGGAAGCGCGACAATCTTCTCTCTTATGAAGCGCTCGCGCTGTTCCGTCCTCCAGGAGGGATCAAAGATGACGAGCATGATCTTCCAGAGACCAAATTCTTGTGGAATAGAACGCGCTATACCGGGCAACTTGATATGGTCAGTATCTGCGTGTAGCCAGAGCGTGTGGGGTTTCTGCGAGTCCAGGGTGGAAACGAAGTGCACCAGGTCGATCTCTTCTCCCGCGTTAAAACTACGGAGTGTGTACACCTCATGAGCGGGCGGAACGTATGGGCCAGTGTACACGGTCTTGGGACCTTGGGACCTTGGGAGATGGATTCCATGTGTATAATCTGGCTGCCAGGTGAGGACAGGAAGACGTTGTCACCAAATCCCGCGTCGCACTGCTCGGGGGTCAGACTGGAATGTGACACGTTTTCCGGCGTTGCAAGACCCCGAACCACTCGGCAAACGAGCCGAAAACGTAGTCCCTGTCTGGTAGAACGTCTTAGTATTCAATATCATACTGCCACAGAGAAAACTTACAGATTGTCCCGGGATTCTCCTGTGCGAATCGTGGACCATCGAGCTCGAGGATTGCGATATGCCCACCAGAAACAAGCAGCTCTTTAAGGGCGACGAGAGTACTATCGATGTCGGGAATAGCGTGCAGGGCATCAAAAGCAGTGACGATATCAAAAGTGTTCGCATCGAACCCTTGTTGAGCAAGCAGCACGCTCAGGTCGAAGGCTTTGGGAGTCATGGTAGGCCACTGGGACTTGACGGTCGACTCTTGGGCTAATGAAATCGAGATGTCAGTACTGACATAATCGAGGTAGCACAGATCTTGAATGCGAGCGTCAATGAGTGCCTGGCCAAGAAGTGCCTTAGAGCGGCCAGTGCCATCCCCAACTTCGAGGACACAAACGACCTTCTTGCCGGCAGCAACGGCGTTCTTCACGAGCTCAACGAACTTGGCCGCCACCTCAGCGAACACATGCCCAACCAAGGGCGGCAGCTCGTAGGTCTTGCTCATGATGTTGTCACTCCTCTCTTTCAAACTAAGGTGGACACAGAAGCGGCGCTCACCGACATCAGCACGAGCACATCCGTCGGCGTCATCACTGAAGGATTTAGAGTGGCTATCCGGACTAGGGAGCCCCAGCTGGCTAAGCGCGACTGTGTCGAGCGGATTGCTGACGAAATTGACCCCGGCTATGACAGCCTGGTCGCACTCGCCATTGCGGATTGCTTGGATAGCCAAGTGGATGGCAACAAGGGAAGAGGAGCAGGCGGTATCGACTGGAACCGACGGGCCCATGAGGTCAAGACGTAGTTTATCCTGTTGGCAGCGATAGACATGGCCATTCCGGTGGAGTAGTACGCTGAAGGGACGCATCTGAGTTGAAAGTCAGGCGAAGTCGCGTTTGTGAACTTACCTCCGGCCCGAGTGATGTCCATCTCGTACGGAACTCCCGAACCGCCTAGATTTATTGGTGGGTACGTGTATTATTTCGGGAGACGCTCAGACCTACCGACACCAATCTATACACCGGTAGAAGTGTGACGAAAATCTACACCGCTTCGTTGAAGTGCATTGAAAGCCTGGTGGAGCTGAGAAAAGCCGTCAGAACACGGATCTACAGTTACTTTACCGAACTTACAGCACAAGCTGAGGAGCGCCAACTTGTGCAGCTTCAGCTGGAGTCACTCCAAACTCCCAGAGGTCTCCGTAAGATATCTCAAGAATGAACCCGCCCTTGGTCTGCACACGGGAATGGGATACGCCATGATGCCTAAACCGTAACTAGCTTTCCCGGTTGAGGGACATGGAATGCCTCAGCATTCCAACGGCCCTTGGGCACAATAATCATAGGGTCGCCTTTGACGGCCAGAAATTCTTGGAATCCCTCTACGTCTAAGTCGCGAGGAGCTTCTTCGCCGCCAGGTGCGCATAGCGACATCCCTACAGAGTTAGGAGCAGTCAAGGTAGATCCTCACTCCGCCGCACTGTCATACATACCAACGACAGCCAACGCCCGAGGGACAGGATTGGAGTAACTTGGTGCAGCAGAAGAGGCCATAGCGATGGTGGAAGCGTAGCAGAGGTGTATCAAGGCCCTGTAGTGTCAAACCGCCTTGGGAAAGCGTACTTATACTCTGGATATTCATGCGCATTGGGGTGACTCGTCGAGCAGTCAGTTGCGGCCTTTGCGATAGCTTCAACGATGACCCAGAGGCGATACCACAACAGCGTATTGGACGAAAGGAAATGAACTTCCGTAACTGCAATAAGCTTAATGGTGATGTACTCACTGCCCCGGTCCATTAGGAAACGGCAAGGCGGATTTCCGGGATGGAGGACGAGGTGTATCTGCGCATCTCAGCAGTGTATCGTCAACGAATGGCACGTAGTCTGTAGTTTGGGGTCGGAGCTAGACGTGCGATAAGGATTATCTCCTCACGGAAGATCGACCAAGTCCTGCGTGAATGTCAGCAAATCATAGCAGCGGAGTCATGGATTTAGTTGCTGAGAAGCAAGGGAAGGGACACACTGATGTTATGCGACAATCTTTCCGGGGAGTTATAACCAGCGTGTTCACCTACAAGAGGTGAAGTCAAAGCCGTGATTTCGCCGTCACGAACGTGTGGCGAAGAATAAGGTAACCCAAGTACAACTCGAAGCTCAGAGCTTTCCGCAGTCACAAATGCACACGAAATGCACACGAGAGGAGCGTCGTACTCTGTGGAAGAGTGCGCAAAGCTAATTGCAGCCACGAGAGCCCGAGACGAACAGTACGCTGTAGACAGATGATTCCACGTGTTAACGCAGAAAAATATATACGCCCTGTAGCCTATACTAACACCAAATATCCGTGCGGACGAGCCGGTCACGCAAGGCATTCGAGATTCAGTCAGTGTTCTGAGTTCTTCAAGATATGTTGCAGCAAGACTCACCAGCTTCCGTTGAACATGAACACTTCTGGGAAGAGCCGGTAACCCTAAATTGAAGGAAGTTCGCAAATTACCTTATCATGTCCCCGATATTCGCATGAGAAGCTTAACGAGCAGCAGACTGTTTTGGTCTCGACGTGCTTAGGCTATATATTCCTTATCTCGGAGTGGTGTATGGCGGCATAGCGTGGTTCTGGACTGCAGAGGTGCCATGATGATTCCGAACGTAGGATCTGTACGCACACTATTCTTAAGATGTCACTTACAATGGCTTGATGCGTTCATAACCGCGCATCCCCTTTCAGTGCTAGCTACTTACTAGGGGCCATCCAAGGTTTCACTGTAAAGATACGAGTGGCGTGTCCAACTTGCCCTAAGGGACTTATCTTCTGACCGCCGAAACAGAGGTCTGAGAAAAGCCAGACACTTCCCATGATTTGTATTGCCAGCGAAAGGTTTCCGCCAAGAACTGACTGACATGAAAACAGTGCCCAGAATATCTCGCTCTCGTGAGTCTAAAACTTATGAGAGAGGCGAGATTAGTTGCAAGGGCGACAAAGGGGTGAAAGGACCGACATTCCTGTTCGCACCTGCGCAATTATTCGCCTAAGCATTGGCGCAATGAACGAATGCGGGACGTCACGTTGCTTCTATGTGCATGTCCGGGCAGCTAGAATGCAATGTGGTGCATGGGTAAAACTGAGTTTAAATTAGTCGGTTTGGAATCTATTGCCCCGGGGAGAAGCATCCCACAGAGGGGGTGCGCAGCTCACCACGGGTGTATACACACTGTAGGCGCTCTTGTCTGCGGGACATCTCCATACAGTCCAGGCATCCGAAAAGCGCCAGAGATGCTGAGCGCAGAGGACCAAGGAACCTAGAATACTTTCCGAACTTGGAAAGTCCACACTGATAGAGAAAGAAAAGTCGAGGACAACTCCTAATCGAACAGAGGGCCCAAACCTTGATATGACAGTGTAGGGCCGCGACCAAACCAAAGCAAATGAGTCTATTGAGAAGAAAGGCATCACCATTGTTATATAGCACTCACAGCGCGCGCACAGAATGTCAGCCATACTATCAGCTTGCTACCGCTCAAGTATGGCATTACCACCGTATAGTACTGCAATACTCAAGTCAGCATAAGCTCGTAACCGCTGGAATGGACTAGAACATGGCACCCTCAACCCAGTGGAAAATGCGCCAGAGATTCGCACTCTGGCTTGCGTAGACCTGCTCGACATAGAAGGTCAAGGTGCACCATAAATCGTCGTTTCTACGGACTTACGAACTCCCAAAGGTTAGCTTGAAGAGCAAGACCAACGCCATACCAGAAGAGGCGGAGCTCGAGGCTAAGCCCGTCGAAGCCTTCAAGTTCAAAGCCATGCCCGGCTACATGTCGCACTACCTTCGTCCAGCATGGGGCATGAAGAACCCGAAATTGCCACGTGGCCACTGTGGTGCAGCCTGGTGCAGCCCACGGAGTGCAGCACCGATCAGGAGAAGCAGAGCTACGAGGAAGCGCTGAAGAACTTCTCGCTCATCATCATTAATCCCGAGTCAATAGACTATCGGTCACCGCACGAGCGGGTCGTGTCGAAGAAATTGGACCGTGGATTGTGGGAGGACGTACCAGTAGTTATGCCTTGACATGTCCGCTTGCTCGGGACGGGACAGTGCTACCAAATCGCCGTCAGAGACTCCCACATCCGGGGAAAGTAATGCTATTGGTGCTTGTACGATGCATGTTTACTGCAATCGGCCACCCATTATGCATGAATACCCGAACTGCTTTAAGGTAAACTCATATGAAACAGAATACAAGCGTCGACCTGCCGTGAGCGCAGACTAGTCAGGAATCTCGCAAACGGCAGCCGTCCGATCCAGACGCCTCACATACTGAGAAGGTTTTTCTACAACCATAAGCAAGGCGGAACGCGACTCACCACACCTTACATCGTGATCGCCCTCGGACGTGATGAACATGATATAGTCGTCGGAAAAGCGACAACATGGCTGTGGCGTGGGCCATCATAATTCGGCGGAGGACCCCTGAAAATACCGATAGATGCCGGAGCCAGTCCGGACAAAAAAAGCGGCTCGGGCAAGGGACGCCGGAGCCAGTCCGGACGTAGGTAGGGGTCTCAGCCGGCCAACCCGGTTTTTTACAGTCGTTTGCATAAGAAACTGAACATCACGTTTCCGCACGCGTTGTTTGTCCGCGCCAAATATGCCCTTTTCGGGTATCGGCAAACGCGCGGCAAAGGGCTTACCGGAGGGCAGAGTGTTCCTCAAACCACTGTAGACATACTAGAATGACTGATTATACTAAGTACAGCTATATATTATACATTGCATGCAATATACGAAGCCCTTTGATGCCCCTCCGGACATCTACAAGTCCTTACCTAGCCAATGAGCCCCGCGAGAGGCCGTCTGAAGTTACCCGAAAAGGGCATATTTGGCACGGACAAACAACGCGCGCGGAAACGTGATGTTCAGTTTCTTATGCAAACGACTGTAGTCCGGACACCAACGGCACCCCAGCAGTGAGGCCGGTTGTAGTCCGGACATGGTCAGCAACCCGCCACTTCGTCGCGACTAGTACATTCCTCGGGTACCCCTTAGTTGCACGGAATTATACAGTTTACGCTGAAATCCGGAGGCACACATGGAAGACACAGCTGGGTGCCGGATGGCTCCAATATCTCTGCGGTATCGTATCTCGCCGTCCAGGGCTACGAAGCCATGAACGGGCGGGTATTTCGCACTGTCTCTCAGACTCTGGCAATGCTCGCTGCCTGCCGAATCACTCAATTTGCCTACGTCTATCCTTTGCATGCTGGAGACATGCCCGAAGGCTCTCCGTTATCTATTGAACTTTCTACCTCAGACTATGCACGTTTCAGATTTTCATACACCCTAGTATATATATCTAGTGTCTAGAATGACTTGTGGACTACAACGGGTGATTTTTGCTGTTTCCTAGAGGCCGGGGCAATAGTCCGGACATGAATCTGACCTTGGCCGAGGCCGGTATTTTATCCGGACATAAAGGCGGGGGGCCGCCAGAAAAAGTCCGGACATGACAAAATCGAGTCTTGCACCGGCATCTATCGGTATTTTCAGGGGTCCTTTCGGCGGACGCGTAAATAAGTTCTAGCCTTGCTTCGGTTAATTCTGACGGTTTTTCGACACGTTATTTCTTTCAGGGGCCTTTCCGAGTCGATGTCCCCGTGAGTATATAAGCAATATACTACATATAGTGGATGCCCAACCACTGGCACTCTCTGAGTTGCTGGTTCTTACTCAGGCTCCTAAACCATCCGTCCTTAGCGATCTCGCTCCTCCTTTACTAGAGCGCACGTGTAGTGTTATGTAATACAAATCTATTTTTAATTTATTACCGGATACAGAACGAACAAGAGGAGGAGAACGCTATAGGACGGCTGGCACAAATGTCGTCGCCGAGATCCCCGAGGCTGACTAAGCGGACGGTGGCTGAAGCCTTTCAGCAGCGGTCGGCGGGCCTTCATGCAACCATTTACCACTTATTACCTTGGGATTTGCCGCTCGGTGTACTTTATAGCAGTGTAAAAATGTCCTAACTGAATGGTATACTCATGCAATGGTTATCAGTAGTACCGAAGGCTGAATATCCAGCTGAAGAGGCATAATGGCTATAGACAAGCCCCTCTGAGTGTCAGAAGTATACCAAAGGTATTTGCATTGGTCTTGAACCATTTTAGCACCCGTTTATATGTGTTCTGAGTGAGCTCAACGAGGTAGGTGTCGAGATGCTCTCTACATCGCCCGCCAACCGCTGCTGAAAGGCTTCAGCCACCGTCCGCTTAGTCAGCCTCGGGGATCTCGGCGACGACATTTGTGCCAGCCGTCCTATAGCGTTCTCCTCCTCTTGTTCGTTCTGTATCCGGTAATAAATTAAAAATAGATTTGTATTACATAACACTACACGTGCGCTCTAGTAAAGGAGGAGCGAGATCGCTAAGGACGGATGGTTTAGGAGCCTGGTTCTTACTCTGTTGCGGGATCTGGGTCAGGATGAGTTCTCACATACAAATTCGATTGACGCACCAGTACTCGTACAGCATTCCTGGTATTGTGTGGGAGAACTATAGATATCCTGTTCATTGACATTGGCGTCATAAATCATCGTCGCTCAGCAAATCGTCTTCGTCGTCGCTAGGCAGTCCACAGTTGCCGTTGCTCGACACCGCCGGACTAATTACGCGATGTCTGGTAGGGCGCACGGTAAAGTGATGTTAGTAGAGCGAGCACCCAGAATATAGCAGAATGCAAGCGCACTTAATTAGCAGCTCCTCGATAGCCCCTCTACCGGCCTCCAAGTCCACCCTCACCCAGTTGTACACCAGGTCTCCGCCCCGGTACACGAGCATCGTGGGCAGCATGTCCAGGTCAATATCGTCGTCCTCGTCTACCTCGCCGTCTTCATCGTACGCCTCGCCGTCTTCGTCAGCTTCCGTGTCCCCGAACGGATCGTCTTCGTCGTCTATAGTCGATAGTCCGCCAGGTATTCTGCGTGCAGTCCGAATAGATGTCGAAGGGCGAGGTGCAGGACGGGACGAGGAGGATGCGGAAGCGAAGCCAAGGGCTCCGGCTTTACAGCGCAGGAATTTCGTATCAGGATTTCGGCGGGCGAGCTGGACCAACGTCTCATCCAGAGCGTAGCATCTGTCTAGTGACTTCAGACGCAGCCTTCTCAGCCTGCAGCTATTGTGTTTGTAAGATAACGGGAGACTCACCGGTGCATAGAGATGGACCACAACCCAGGTGTTCCTATCCTCGCTTTCAATAGCCGGCAAGAACCCCTCCACTCCTACCTCTCTCAAATGTCCAAATCTGCCTGTCTTTCCACCCGTGCCAAAGAAGTCCATCGCACCGTTGCTCCCTCCTCCCTCCAGCATGTGCCTCTCCCACATTCTCTCCTCCTCTTCCTCCCTATACGTCCGCGCGCTCAACGCCGCCCTCTCCATCTTCTTATTCAGCTCGTCCAACTCTGCACGCTGGTGGTCGCGCGCATTCCTGTCCGCCTCGCGCTTGTCACGGATGACGCCCTTGACACCTGTGCGCCCCGGCACGCCCACGCCGACGCTGTTGCTCGCGCCCGCCTGCTGCTGGCTGAGGATGCGGTCGATCTGCTTAGAGCGCTCTTTGTCAGAATCGTAGTCAAAGCCATTGTCATCGTCGTTGAGCTCGGGCCAGTCGGTGTTGTCTGGCGACGGTGTTCGCTCTGGGGAAGAGGAGCGGGAATCGGAGAAGAGTCTGCCCGAGAGGACCAGTGACTCAATGTCTTCCGGCTGAAATCGAGTTCAGAGAAAATTTATCAACATATAAAATACAAAACATACCATGGTTCGAATATAGATGCTTCAAAATGGCGGATTTGGATTGCAAACGAAGAGACGAAAGTGAGGTGAAGCCTGGTGAAGTAAGGGGTCCGCCGATCGAGATCTGATTTCTGGGGAGTACCTCATGCACGTGATCTTCGCGTCCCCTTTTGCTTCCGCCATTTTCGACTGGGCTCTCAGTGCCTCTCACCACCATCGTAACGCGCTACAAAAGCCAGAATGAAGCAGAACTACGAGAAAACATTTTCTTGTTTACACACCATCCTACATTCCCAAAGAATCGAATAATATATGAAGGCTGTCTGTGAGTATGTCGTAATTTCCCAGGTGCGAACTCAGTGGCAAGTCACCCTCTGTCAAGTTCTTCCAATCCTCGAAACCGTCGCTTATATTTCCAATGTGATGAAGGTTTACGACAGTATACAGCATTGGGTTGTTATTATTTGAAGTGATCCCGCCACGTAAAGGTGGTTGGTGGTTTCAATTTGGACTTACGTTCCTTCATCCCTTTGATCCTCCGTCAGCCTCGTCAGCCACTATCCGGAGGCTGATATGCCCGGTGCTGGCGGACATCAATGCTCGTCCCCTCTCGCTGCCCCCGTCGAATTGCTTTGACTTTGCTCTCACATTTGCTTTCGTATCGCTGTCATTGGCACTGTCATGGAAATATCCACAGCCGACTATATCCGCTCAGATCTCTGGTTCTCCGACGGGAACACGATGATTGTTGCCGGGCGGGCTCTGTTCAAGGTTCATCGCGGACAGCTGGAACGCCACTCGGAAGTCTTTCGAGATATGTTTGCTCTGCCACAACCACCCTGTCAGGAAACGATCGAAGGTTGCTTGCCGGTGGTGCTATACGACTCGCCTTCGGACGTACTCTTCCTACTGCGAGCATTATATGACGGCCTGTACGTCTCTGCGTGTTCGATATGGACCCCGTAGCTGATACACACATCCAGATATTTCAAGACGGCCATAGCTCACGACTTCCAAGTCATCTCAGCCGTACTTCGGCTCTCCAGTAAATATCTCATTGGCCACCTCCGGCGGCACTGCATATCACGGCTCGAGGTAGACTGGCCTTCCTCCTTGCTTGGCTGGGATCATCGCGAGAAGATGGCCACCGACCCATCAACAGGGCGCTATAATCCGCGAGAGATGTACGCCCACCCAATCCTCGTCATCAGCCTCGCGACGGAACTTGGGCTGGACCACCTCCTTCCCGCCGCTTATTACGATCTATGCCGGTACGGCCCCAGCAAAATCGCATCGGGCGTCCCTCCCTCCAATCGTAACCCCCCTCTGCCTTTGTCCGCAGCGTTAGAGAGCGAGAGAGCGGACTCGCCCATCCTACTATCGCGTAGAGAGCTGCTATCGACGTTCCTCGGCCGCGAAGCCGGCCAGCGCTACATCATCACCTTCATCCAGGACGAGCTCGCACACCGCCCACCCGCGCGCGACTGCTCCGCCTCCCCCATCTCGGGAAACCACCCCTGCCTCGAGTCTTTCTACTTTATCCAGCTGAACATCCTGCGTTCCGTGGGCGGCATCGCCGCGGGGCGCGACGGCGACCCGCTGTACACGCTCGCGCAGGCGGTGGAGATGCTCTCACGGACGGATTTCTCGGATGGTGTGAATCAGTGCGGGCTGAAGATATGCAATGCGTGCCGTGCGGAGTTTATGGTGTCGGTAAGGAAGTGTCGGGAGAGGGTGTGGAGCGAGGTCCCTGGGTGGTTTGGTCTCATAAGGGAGGAACGCGTACGTAGTCTTGAGATTTGAGCAGGCGATCATAAAGGATTTGGGACATCATGCTTACTGTCAGCATTTGGCTTGTGTACCGTTGTTCGGGGAAGTATTACGGTATCACTATATTTATTGTACGAGAGCACTGGAGGCATGCTGATAACCATGATATTTTCCCGCACGAGAAAATTAGCGGGTCAACGCGCAGCACCTTGTTCACTGTGTGGACTCTTCTATATCGCGGGCGGACGGACATTCCGATGAGGTAGGACCGCGAAGACTTTAACAAGCTTGATCACCACCACTGGAGCCCCCGCGGGTCATGAGCTCACTTCCTGGAAGCCACAGGTAGATATTTACCCGTTATGTAATTTCAATGTCAATCGGGAAATTGTCCCCGGCATGCTCAGTGGACAGATATCTACTGTACAACTTCTAGCGCTCTGTCCGTCCCGCGCCCATCGGGCAAGCCTCTTTACTATCTGAGTATACGACTCAAGGTGCGAGTTCCTGTCGAAAGTCACTCTTGAAAGGTTGCGGCAGGCTCTCAGATGATCATCGAGACGGTCACTTATACTGCCGGGGTGGCTCGTACTCCCATTCCTCCACCACATAAGCTTAGCATTCTGAAAATATTCTTGTCAGCTGCTGCATAATGAGCCCAGAAAAGTAACATAGCTTATAGAGCGGTGAGTGCTAGTTATAGGTCGATTTACCACGGTTTTACTGTAATTCCGGGGCCTACGCATTGGACTTTTCAACATATCCCGATATGGACTCGCCACTTCTATACCTGTCGGTATTTCACACGCTTCACCTCAAGACTTTGTTATTGGTTTTCCTCTCATTATCTTGCTTCTGTGATATGTGTGAAGTATACCCGTCCCTCGTCTGACTTTTAAGTTGACGACGCAGGGCTCATGTGGATTATCCTCTTTTCTCTTCCCCCCCTCCCGCCTCCTGCCCTTCGCAATCTTACTGCATCCCCTTGACTCCTCCGGCACCCGTTCCATTCCCCTTGTCTTCGGTACGCTGTATGAGTTACAGCTGCGGCTGGGTACAAGCGATTTGCCTCGGGTTTGCCAACGATCCGCCAAAGCTTCCGTAGTTCGGCCGTATCGAGTCGTCGACCTGGATGGGGTTCCCGCAAGTGGCTATATTTCCCGATGATTCACCTCAGAGTGACTTCTCTTGATTTCTTCGGTATTGCTCTCCCAGCAGGGTTTCTGGTGACAAGACATATACATTGATCTATTTCTCTGGTGTCATATCGCCCTCACGTGCGTTTTCGGGAGGACAACTCACCTGCACTGCTTCGCCGCGCTTCGTCGCGGGGTCGCCACTTTCCCGCCGTCCGATCAAAAATAGCCCCGAGCCGTACCGTGCCAGTGGCCGCCAGCTGCTACTAGTAGCGGTTCCGCTCTTCACGCTCAGTTCTCTGTATATCACTGCTCTATCTCACGCGGGCCTTGCTTTCATCGACACTGCCAATTTTTCCAAAAATGCTCGGTAGCAAACTCGCAAAAGCCGGACCAAGTCTCTCTAGATCCGTATCCTCTGCAGGTATGCCACCCTCCCGCTTCTACCAAGCCAGATCTGAGCTCTTCGCGTCCAGTGGCGCCCGCATCCATTCCCATCCTAACCGTCAAAAAGGCGAAATCGAAGACGCCAGAGCCGATCACACCCACGCTCGAGGAGACGCGCGACCCATGGTCTTCGCTCTTCGACACCGTGTCCTCAAGCGTGCCTGCCAACGCGCTGTACCAGTCGAAGTGGAGTAGGAAGTCGGCAAAGACACAGCTGTCCTCTAATTTCTTTGACTCGGCGGCGAAGGGCGGGGCGAGGCGGGCTTACTCGACGAGCGCGGGCGATGCATCTGGGTCAAAGTCCCCTGGCAGGTGAGTACTCTCTAGACTCGCCGTATTCGATCCGAACTAACTCACCCTAATACCGAAAGTCCAAGCGCCTCATCCTCCTCTTCTTCATCCTCGATATTCGCACCGGGCACCTCCCCCTGGGACCACGTTTTCCACGACATCGCCGCCTCGCCGCCCCCGCTCGCCCCCTTCTCGCGCCACGCCCGTGCCCCGCCCTCAGCTCGCCCCCGCAGACGACAAACCATGACCAAATCCGAGCTCTCCGCCTTCGACGAGATGTTCGACATGATATTCTCCGCGCTCAACGACTCCCCCTCCGCTTCCCCCTCGCGCTCCCCCACCATCGGCCTCTCCACCTCGCGCATGCACCGCCGCTCTCTCGCGCAAGACCCCGCGGACGCCTCTACCCAAGCACTGGACCGCGCACGCGAAGAAATGGAGCTGTGCGACAGCGACCACGTCCTCCTCCAGTACGCCCAGCGCATCCTGCGCCCGCCGTACCCGCCGCACGGCCCGCACCTTCTCGCGCACCTCCTCCACCTGTTCGCCGCGAAATTCCGGCATCCACACCTCGCGCTCGCTGCCTTTGCGTACGCGCGCGACGCCGCGCCCGAGACGTACGTCGCGCTCTGCACTGCGCCCGCGTACGCCGAGCTCATCACGATCCAGTGGGAGCATTTCCGCGATTTGGGCGCCGTCAGGAGGGCGCTCGAGGAGATGCGCGCGAACGCGGTGGACGTCGACGGGAAGGTCAGGAGGGTTGTGTATGGGATTCGAAGGGATCTGGGGCAGGGCGGGAAGGACTGGGCGATTGTCGACGGGAAGATTTGCGGGACGGGCCCGAGGGAGAGGGAGGTGTGGGATGTCGTGGAAAAGTGTGAGCGCCTTGTCGGGTCTTCGGGGAACCTGGGCGCACTGGACGAGTGGAAGAGCGGGGAAGGTGTGGAAGATAGGGACTGGAAGTTTGGTTACGGAGACGAGGAGGAAGAGGGATTTGGCGCTGTTCCAGCATAGAATAAGATATATTATTAACACATTAGTCTACCCCGTCCTGGTATAAATACTCGAGTATGCAAAGGTATAAGGTAAAGATCGACAGTTCACGGACCACATCCGTCCTTCCAAATAGTAAAAAGGCTACAACAGCACGATCCTATATGCACAACTACACAGCAGACAAGAATCGAGAACGAAAGGAGTGGCGTCGCTACGAGCGACGGCTGCGCGTCTTGGACATGCGCGGTGGTGGTGGAGCGGTCTGTATCGCGCCCAGGCCGTGTTGCGGGACATAGTCTGGGTCAACGGTGTTGCATTTCAGGTGCAGGAGGAGGTTATGCACGAAATGCTGTTCATATCTACCCGCGAGTCAGCACCAGCACTCGCACTCAGGGAAAGACACTTACTGGGCGTTCGTGAAGACAATCGCCATCGACTCCGAGCTGCACCTCAGCAAATTCGGCGCCATCACCAGCGCCAAATTCGCGCTCGTCATCTTCGTCACGCCCATCACCTTCTCTTCCAAAAACAGCTGCAGAAAGCTGATCACAAACAGCACCACCCGCCGATTAATCGTCGGCAGGCGCTGCACGATGCCCACGCACGCCTCGGCGTCCTTCGCGTGGCTGATGCAGTCGTTGTACAGCTCGTCGGGCACGAGCGGGTCGAGCAGCTCGCGCAGCCAGAGCTTCAGCAGCGACGAGAGCACGTGCGGATCGTCGACGCCGTCGAGCGTGTAGTACCCCTGGTCGAGACGCAGCTTGAGCTCCGCGACCGAGTCGCCGTCGCCGGGCACGCGGAAGATGCCCTCGGACTTGGTGCCGCCCAGCGCCAGGATCCCATCTGCGAGGAAGGGCAGGATGATCGGGACTTTCGCCTGCGGGTACGTCCGCTGCTGCAGGCGGAAGATGATGTCGAGGGATTCGCCAAAAATGGACGGGTTGAACGCTGCGTCCTGTGTGTATACGGCTCAGTGGGGTACATGACACGCGGCAAGGGCCGACTCACGGAAGCCACCTCTATCTCAGAAGTGCTGGGCGGCTTCCCCCGAGGTCCCTTCTTCGAAATATACGCCAGCCGGCGAAGACAATACTTGGCCATAACGTCTACTCTCCCCTCTGCCTGCGTAGTCCGCTGCTGGATGAACGACTGGAGGTACCTCTCAAAGTCTTTGGACGGCGGGAACGTGATCAGCAGGACACACATGAGCTGCCACCCCTTGAACACGCTCTCGCTGCTTGCAGTCAGACCTGGGATCACACCTCAAACACGGGAAACACTCACGGATTCGGGTTCCCGCTCAGCTGCTTCATCACCTGGCAATAAATCTCGTCCCTGAGCTCTCCATGCGCGAGTCCCTCGCCGAGCAGCCACCGCTCCTCCTCGAGCAGCCCGCTCCGTTCTCGGTCAGTCATGTGTCCCACACCGTTGTTGATACTGGCGACAGTCGAGACGTGCGCCTCCTGCGTGCGCACGCCGACCGGCCGGTCGCGGTCCCTGTCGCCCATGATGCGCTGGACGACTTTGAATATCTTCACGGCGTCTTTCTGCAGTCCGCGGTTGATGACGAGGAGGGGCGCGGTAAGGGGTGCCTAGGATACATTTAGCCCTAGTCGCACTCGAGACGTGTTCATAAACGCAGGAGAGCACACCTTCTGCCAGGACATCATCTGCGCCACGGGCACCTTGCGCTTGAATATGAATCCCGTGCGGTGCGTCGAGAAATACTGCCTCGCAAACTCGGACTCGATGAACTGCTGGATGTCCGACGCAAGGTCGTGCGGGAGGAGCGGATACGAACTACACAACCACAACGCCTGAGCTTATCACACGCTAGTATAGCAAATAAAAGCGTACTTCAGACTTGCGGTGCTCGCCCCAGGCCTCGCCCGCGGCTCAACAGGAATCGGCCGCCCAGCGGCGCGATTCTTCACAGGGCTCAGGTTCATCGTCGCCTCTGAACCATCCAGCGCGGTCAACACCCTACCACCTACACGCAGCCAAACCGCACTCACCCTGATTCAACACAGGCCCACTGATCTCCTTCCCAGCGAGTTTCCCATGCCCTGGCGGCACCGGCGCGGGGCGCCTCGGGCTGGGTGGTATATTCGCCCGTCCCGCACCAGAATTACCGCCAAACGCCTTCCACCCCTTCCCCGGCTCCCTCGGTGTCGGCGGCATACTCCCGGTCGGCGTGGACGGCACGCGCGCGGCGAGCGCCACGTTCGGGTTGGGCGTGGGCGGCGCGCTGCCGCTAAGGTCGTCCAGGAACGTCGGCGTGAGCGACGTCTTCACGCGCAGGTCGAACGAGTGCTGCTGGCGCGTCGGTGAGGGCGAGGAGGACTGCGTGGTGAGAAGTTCGACGGCCGCGTCGAGGTTCTGCGGGAGCGGCGGGCGGTGGTACGAGGACGGTGGTTTGGACCTGTCCCTGTCTGCAACTGCACCCTTTTGTTGGGTCTGTGCGCGTTGCGGTGCCGCGCCACCATCACCGTCTTTGTTCCTTTCTCCCGCTCCGCCGCCGTCCAGTTTTGCAGATTTTATGGAGGATACATCGGTTGAATACGGTGATGCCGGGATAGGCGGTAGTCGCGGATCGCCAGAGTACAAGCCCTGGTATTGGTCACTCGATAAAGAGCGGCGGATGACGTGCCTCCTTCCTCCAGTCTTTCCTGCGGATCCAGGTGACTGGCGAGTCGGGGTCGTCGACGCAGTATGGGGACGGTCAGTAGTGTACGACCGGGAGCGGCGTTTCATAGCGCTGGGAGACTGGCTTTGCTGGGAGGGCGAGGAAGAGGAGGCGACTTTGAAGTTCTGGTCGTACGCCCGTGAGTTCCGAAAGCTAGTGGAGAGACGCCGGCCTAGCGTTGTATTCTGCAGCAATCGTATCTGTCACAGTCGGGATCACCGCGATGCCATGCTCACCTGCAGCACCCCTAGCGGTATCACGAACGCATCCGGCCGCTCCCACACCGTCTCCCCGCTTTTTGTGTGGTAATAGTAGGGCAAATTTCGGGACTCGTCGACGAGCTCCCACCACTCGCCTTCTTCACTCGGGGGGAGGCTGGGGAAGATCAGCCATGCTGATAAGACGTGAGATATGTTGACGACACGACTTACACGAAATGGCCAACTGGAGGGTCCCAGCTGACCTCTCCAGTAGCTGGGCACGCATAGAACGAGACTTGTGTCTGCAATCAAGACAGCAGCCGAGCATCAGGTTTGCGAGACGCGTGCGAGATCATCGTTGCAAGCGTACCTGGGGATCCACGAGCGTCACCCAGAAATTCGATCCCCAGTCTGCCTGGCTGCTACTGTGCGAATGTTGACTGCCAAAACTCGTGTCCGCCCTCGAATGTAAAGGGGTAATGGGCGCAGGTGAATTTTGTTGGGGGTTGAACGAGGTGGGTGCTTGCGAAAGCGGGCCAGAGTTGGACGGCGAACTGGCAGGCGACGACTCTTGGAGGGTAATGGAAATTTGGGGGGCGACGGCGGCCGACATATCTAGACAGAGTTATCAGACTGGAGACTTGAGGAGAATTGCAGGGAAAGGCAGAGCGCGGCAGGGCTAAGTACGATAGGCCAGCTATGAAGAGGGGAAACTGATCATGGAAGACGCCCACGCGTGGGCGTCTTCCATATTCGCCGTGCCTGGTGCCCTTCCCCGGGCTCGGAGCGTCCCCTCGGATTCGGCAACCACGACAACGACAACGACGACGACGACGACAAAGATCGAAAGCATCGCGACCGATGCTGCGACCTTGACTTTGCACCGCTCGTTACCACGGTGTTATTTACTGCTGCAGATCACAGTTTTGGCATCATCTATCCCAGCTTGATAGCTTGATCTCAACGTCGCTCGGCCCTCGCGGACTCACCTTCGTCCACACGGCCCGTCGGACCCGGATTACCCACCGCCCCATTTCCCGTCGCACGTCTCCCTGGGACCCATGTCGCAAGAACACGCAGGAAATGCAGGCCTGAACTCACCACCGCTGCGGAAACAGAGCAAGAAAAGTATGTTTAGTGTGTCAAAAATGGGTAGTCTGATCAATAAATGCCAACAGATGGAGACTCGGGCTATCAGGAAAGGGGGATGTGGTGGGAGGGGAAAGGCGAGGGCAAGTCGAGAGGTATGGACCGCGCGTTATATACTTTGCTGGAAAGCGCAGATCGAAATTGACATATGGCCTGTCCTCGAAGACATACCGAGTGCGGTAGGCACATGGCCACATTGGGAAATGCCTTTCCTTTCACGCAGCTGCGATCGCGATCGAGCGTAGACCGCCGCAAGCACAGGCCATCCCCGGGTCACCCCAGCATTATTTTATCGAGCATAAGTATTGCAAGTCCTTACCATCTCGCCCTGATAACCGTAGGTAAAGACACTGTTTCACAAATTTGACTCGTATATCTATCAAGCGACCAAAGCAATTTACGACTTTCCTTGGCCAGTCGATACGACAGGACATCCCCCTCGAAGTGACTGGCGCGCTTTATCCACGGCGGAAAACCATCCATCGACGCCCGCAATGCCCCCCTCAGTCCAGTCCGCATCCCGCCCTGCCTCCCCAGTCTGAACTCTCTGCCACTTCTCTCTCAAGTCCTCGCACGTCTCCTCCCCATCTAGCATCGGTACAAAAACGAGCTGATGTCTTGCGATGTCCTGCGCCTCTGCTACCATCGCCCGCGCTACCCGACCGTGGATCTGAGCGAACTCGTGCATGTCCACGCCTATCGCGTATCGCTCTACGCTGGGCGGCAGCCCCAGCAAGTCACGTATCTCCCCGTCTGCCTCGCGCCCACTCAACCCCGACATGTTCGTCTGCCACGGGCAAAGCATCGCCACGCCGGATACCCGCACGTGCGTCAGCTTGGACGAACTCGCGCGACGAATAAACGGCACAATCCCCAAGTGCGCTGAGCGAAGACCGGGTCGGTGCGGGAACGCGATGTGGAGGTGTCGTAAACTTGGGAACAGTGGCGCACACGACGAACCTGGCTCTGGGAGTCGTGGTATTATCGGGTGACTTTGCCTCGAGAGGACGCGGTAGGTAAGGTGCGTAAGGCGAGGGAAGTTTGCCGCGAAGATGCGGTAATACCGTGATGGCACCAAGCTGCTTTGTACGATGCAGGTGAACGTTTCTACAGTGGGTGCTGCAATTCCCATCATTTCTTGCTCTGAACGGTCCGCGTATGGTTAGACCGCCTGTCAATCGAATGCGCCAACGCACCCAAATCGTACATCCCGTCCCCGCCCTTGCTGCTCGCCGCCACCAAGAACAAATGCCGTATCCCCCTTCCGCCAGTAACGCCGGCCCTTTGCGCTAGGAACGGCTTCATTTGCACGCCCCTCGACAGAACGACGGACAAGAACCGGAACGGCTCGACCAGCGCGCAAGTGAGCTTGGACACTAGGCGCATAGCGCAAGCCGTACGCCCCCCATCTTGGAACGCGTACTCAAAGATCTGCTCCAGCAGCTCACCGGGAATGCCATCCAAGAAACACGGGCGCCCTGCGTGGGCGGCCATCTCGCCCCTCCCAGCCTCGCGCGGGGGCTTTTTATGACTTCCGGGCCCGGGGAGGCACTCGCGCTAACATTAGACGTGATGTCGATGTAGGATAACGGTGCGTGGCCCATGGGTAGTCCAATGCAGGTGATGCACTGACCGTAACATGAGATGCAGATGTGTTGCCGGCCCAAGCGAATAGGCCGGGCGTGCTCAACAGGGTGTGATGAACATGGTCGCCTCTTGGGGTGTTCGGCTTGCATGGCCGATCACTCTGGCTCTATTTATGGGGGCGGACTGACTTGCTTCAGGAGGGCCGTCCTCCGGCGAACGTCATATCCGGCGCGTGGACTGAAGTTATAATGGCAGGCTTCCCAAGGCGCCGACAACCTCCCGCGTACCAGAAGACGGGCATTCAATTTCCGGCGAGGACGGTCTGTCATTCCGGTCCATCTCGAGTGGGCGCAGAGGAAGGTGAGCACAGCTTTCCATCAATTGTGTCTATGTCGGGCGCTCGGAGAGTATAGCTGTCAAACTAACATGTCCATTACAGTTGATTATAATAGTAACATTATCAGGTGAACATTCGTCAGCCTATGATGCACGTCTCTCCCGCAGACGCCTAGTTTATCTATTACCATTATGCTCTCGCTATCCCCCCCGTCGAGCCCGATTACCAGCCAGCGGCTCTGTGTATTATAAACGAATTACCGTATGTCCGCCCTCCTCCCCATCCTAGTCAGTCCACCTTGCGGAACCTAGACTTGCTTCTCTTGCGGCCGACGATCCCGCTCTCCACCCACTCGGCTTCCTGCGCGAGTTCGCCAGACTGGACCTTCATCCACCGCTCCCTCGACTCCTGCCACGTACTCTCCAGCTTCCCGACGGGCAGCAGCACAAGCCGCGTCCTCCCCGCGTGCTCCGCCTCCGCGCGCACCGCGTCCGCCTTGGGGTGCGGCTCCTCCGCCGCGCGCGCGTCGCCCCAGCAGAACGTCGTCACGCCGATCGTGTACGACTTGACGCTCGCGGGCAGCGCGCGGATGTACCCTTGTATCCGGCGCGTCCCCCGCGGCTGCAGCCCCAGGATGACGCGCAGCGCGGGGACGTGCGGGCCGGCGATGTTCACCCCGGACACGCGCACGTGCGTCAGCGCCGGCGACGCGCGGTCGACGAACAGCCCGACGCCGGGGTGCGCGCACTCGAGGTCCAGCGAGGACTTGGCGGGGAAGCTGACGTGCAGGTACTGCAGCGCGGGGAAGTAGCACGGGGCGACGGGCGGGTGCTGGATGATCAGGACCTGGACGTCCATCTGGACGAGCTCGCACGTGAGGTGCGTCAGGCGGGGGAACGGCGTTCGCAGGATCCAGTGGTTCGGGAACGCGTTGGAGACGCTGCGCACGAGACAGGTGAGTGTCTCGACCGTGGGTGCCGCGATGCGGATGATCTCTTCCACTATAACCGACAGTGACGTGCCGTGAATCAGTCTCGGCGCATTGATTTCTGCTGCATGCTGAGACTCACCGATCTCGCTCCGGACGCACTCGTTCTCCTCGCGGCTCTTGGACTCGACGAGGAACAGGTGACGGATACCCCGCCCGCGCGCGATGCTACCCCTTGACCGAAGCAACTCTTCCATTTGCGCGCTACTGGAGAGCGCAACCGAGACGAAGCGGTAAGGTTCTACGAGCGCGCGGGCACCCCTGCACACGAGACGCAACGCGCACGCCGTCCTCCCGCCATCGTGGCAGGCTTCGAGAAAGATCTGTTCCAGCAGCTCGACAGGCAAGTCGGACAGTGTAGGTGTTCCCCGCGAGCGCAACATGGTGTAGGACAGAGCGTCGTGCTGGATGGGCGAGGCTGAGGCGCGTAAGGCCTTTAATTAGCTAAATCTCGTGACCAATATATGGGCGGCGTGCAATTTTCCCAGGCGCAATATTCGAATATTGACTCAACCCTGTTTCGCCGCTACCGCCAGGGGTACGGTTGCCGAGCAGCACCAGGTCTATTTTCCAAAGTGCATTTCACTTCGTCAGGGTGCCTTTACATCCCGCTCGGGTCCATGAGTGGCTGTGCGAGGTCTGGTCAGTCCCCTGACTGCATCGCCGGACTCCTTCTCTAGCACAGTTTCTGAGCATTTCTCTACTGTGTATGGCCTATGTATGACTTGCTAAAGTATAAGACACAGCTACAGAATACAGAAAGTGTGCACGACTGCTCTAGAGAGCGCTTGAGGCGTAGAGCAAGTATCATGGGGGTCCCGGTGAGACTCCGGGAAGTCCAGCAAGTGCAACCGGCAAGCAGAAACTTGGATCTCGGATAGTAAGGGTCCTTCAACAATACAGCAGCAAACTTAATTACTGGCTTCAGTCTTCTATCACTGCTCTTGACCCGGAGCATAGCTGGAGGGCGAATTCAAGTAGGCATGAGGAGCTGCGAAAGGAGGGTCTCCGGGTCCCACACCGCCGAGATCAGTATTGTATTTCCGGGGTCCGGATACGTAAGATCGTGCACTTGAGCAATGGCATTCGCGAAATAGACCTGGTGCTGCTCGGCAACCGTACAGGGGATAACTACGTACTATTGAGACCATGGAAACGGTGGCGAAGGGTCGCCGTCCAGACGAAGACGAATATCGCGAATCGCTCAGATCTCACATCACAGCCACTCAGGGATTCTAATCCGCGAGAAGTCAGAAGTTTGGGATAGCTTGGCGTTCGGTACCGGCGGCATGCTAAAAGGTGCGCGCTCGCGCATCAGTGTCTGCAAGGAGCCTCATAAGCCACGAAAGAGCTGCACGAGTACAAACTATGAGGGGAAGAAGAAATGCAGTGACCGACGCCGTCCATCGAACACAGTGCCGGACATGCAGCCAGTCGGCAGAGACGCCTTTGCCAAGGAAGCGAGTAACAAGGAGGCCGACAAAGCCGACAATATGACACGGTTGAACTTGTAGCGTATGTAACCAAAGTACCATTTGTCGTAACGGTGACCATGAGTAGGCATCGGGAGGATGCACCCTACCAATGGGAACACACGGCCTCGACGGAATGCATGATTGCCTTCAAGTGGCGGCTTGGCCGCAAGTCCGTTTACCTCTATTTTGCACGACTTGAGTCAACCTGAGGAACCGTGGTCCGTCGTCCTGTAACTGCCTTGCCGAGCGTCGGACACGAGGATCCTCGCAGTCGGAACAAATCGTGTGCGTACGCCGAGTGCACTGCAAAGCCCGCGTGGCGTTGATACATGGCATACCGTCTTCCGTCATGTAGTGCTTTCGGCCTATAGCTACTCGTGCTCCACAGAGGCAACCAGTAGCCTTTAAGACGCGCGCGCACAGAATGTCTTCATCTAAGCTTTGGATGTATCTGTTAAATGCATATACTTACAAGGATACATAGTCTCCGCAGTAGATGCCGTTATACAGCACATGCCCCACGCTCTCTGAATGGGAGCCTCGGGCTATTGAATGTTAACAGCGCAGTAGGTCGCGTACATGCTTCCCTATAGCCACGGCCGAACAGGTGATGGGACCGCGCACGCAGATATACAACAGGAAACCAGGGATAATTTAAATCAAAGAAATGTTGTATCTGGAGGGACGACTTCGTATAGAGCAAGATCGTGGGAAAGCGGACTTGGGCGAGATTTGCTTCCGTTGACCGATCGTTTGCTGGCAACTCTGGTTGCAACGTTGACCTCCACGTCGTCTTGTCTGACGAATCTGCTTGTAGACTCTTGATTATAGCAAATTATTGCTACATGGCTCCAGTCTTCGATTTTATCCTCCTTGGAGCTGTCTATCTGCCCTGCTTAAGACTTCGGTACGAATCAATCGGTCTTGGGACATTACCGCCACATCGGCGATTATCGTAAAGCGATCCTTCGATTCCGCTGCTATTCTCTGGGTCGCTCTTGGGACTGGTCTTGGGATGTCTTACGGTCTGTATCTTTCTCTCGTCGGGAATCTCCCTGCTGCCCTACCTCTCCGTCCGAGTACGCCGAGGTAAGCGCCGGTGCAGGCGCCCTCGGCCCCGAAGTAGGGAATCGTGGCCGGTCCACATCATGATCTTGCATTGTCCTCTCGTCGCTCGGCAATTATATCTCAAAGGATGACGCCGGTTTTCTTGGTAACCCCGTGCGCATTGCTCGGCCGTTAATCTCCTTGAGTCTTCTGCTTCGCCCATCGTGAATGTGCCGTGGATGGGGCTTGTAGTGTTCCGTTACTCGCCGGCGGAGGATTACTGCTGTGTGAGAGTACTGCCTTTGGTAAGCCGCCCAAATGAGTCACCTTAAATGCGCGCGACTCGAGCCTTTGACCCCCCGCTGCTGCTCACTCAAGCCACTGTTACCCCACCACACTGCACCACACCACATAGTATACTGCCTCAGGTCGCGTAACCCCGCGACACCTTCGACTCTCTCATAGTCATGTCCGATGATTTGTGGAAAATCATGTTTGGCGAGTATCCGCCGAGCGGACAGAGGGCTAGCGACTTCGTTAGCAGCATGCAGCATGCAGGAGGTGCTCAGAGCGAGGCTGAGGGACAAGCGCGCAGGTGCGTCCAGGATTATAGGTCCCTATCGCGACCTGCAGACTGAGACCACCCCAGCGAGCTGCAATGGTTTGACCCTTACGCTAGCGAGGACTCCAAGCCGCCGTCGGATGGGCTGCTGCAGCTCACCGGTCCACATCTTCCCTCGAGCGACAGCCGTTTGGACCCTCTGCCGTCTCTCTCTGGGCTCGGTGATAGCCTTCAGTCTTTTGGTTTGCCATCTATGCCCCGTAAGTTATCACCGAGCCTATAAGCAATACCGTCTCTTTTATTCGTCGTTGTTTAGCCACTGGCGTCCACCAGCCCCCAGCTCTTCTACTACCGGAACAGCAGCCTACCGGCGATTACGCGTCGTATCGCGACTCTTCGGATCCCTACCTATCGGACAGCAGCACCCCGTTCTCCACGGCATCACAGTCGTTGAGTGGCTCATCGCCGGCGAGCTTGATGCCTCCCACCCCCGGCGGGCTTTGGCTCCCCGTACCGGGAAGACGCCGGAGCCAGTCGGACCCCCGGCCCGGGGGCCGCGATTTGCCTCCGCCTTCACAGCCAGCCAATTACCAGGCTAATTATAGCGAGGTGATTGACCCGACCCTCTTGCTGGCTGGCCCATACGACCGGCGTGGCCAGTCGGCCTCTGAACCGTCCGTGCCCACGTTGAGTAATTTCCTTCCGGCCGCTCCCCCCGCTCCCGCCGGTCGCCCTCGCGCGAGTACCTTGGATCGTTCCAGCCACGGGACTCGTCCTGTCCATCGCGGTGCTCCATATTCCGTCCCTCCCTCGCACGGTTCAGCTTCCTCTTCTCCGTTCCCCAGCAATCGGGACGGGTATGAGGCGCGCACTACATTACATCCTCGGTCATCTCACCGGACGTCCCCGTACCCCACCCCATCTTCCAGCTCGTTGGTGAACCGCGAACTTGCGGTATCTATGCACGACATGTCTCTGAATACTACTGCAGCGGGGCCCTCTAGCTCACCCGGCCTTAGTCCGTCTTCTTCCCCGGTTATGCAAGTGATGAGTATCAGAGCCAAGGTCACCAGCGACGCCGTACGCGATGCGGCGCTCAAGCGCCGCAAGTCAGATGCTAAGGCCAGCTTTGCATGCCCATTGCGGGAATGCGGCATGACCTTCACTAGGAAGACGAATTTCAAGGGGCACATGCGGTCGCACATGGGAGAGAAGCCGTTCATATGTGACTTTGCCGGCTGCGGGAAGGGGTTTGCGAGGGAGAATGATATGAAGCGCCATAGGAAGGCCCACTATCACAACGGGAGCGCGTAGATCGTTTTCCGAGTATACTCACGACTATCACGACCCCTTTACGACTGTCTCGCATTTCTTGGATACAGGACGCCGCGCGCGCCCTGGATTATACCCGCAACCTCTCGATACCCGCATTACCCAATGGTCCTCTCCTTGCGTGACCGAGACTCTTGCCTCATAATGTTCCCATGTATTCCATTGCTTATGCCCCCCTTCTCCCCATGTGGATATGGTACCCCTTTATACGCACATCTAGGACTTTTGCTCGGATTGCTACAACTGTGGTTGCATTGCTTAACACGAACTAGCCCCGGGAGGGATGCTGGGTTCATCACTCCTTGTTTTACTGTTGAAATGATGTTACCGTCGCTCGGCGCTTTTTATGTTTTTGCTTTGGTTTAGCTCGCTCGTCGACGCACTTCATACCTTTGTGCTACTCCAAGATGGATTCATGTCCGTCCCTCACATGTTGTATGCTTACTTCTCAATCAATTGCGTCAACACCCTTTCATCGTTTGCTACTCTTGTCGTCGGGTGAAGATACTGTAGTCTGTTCTGTAGCTTGCAGCCGTGCCGCCTCCAGCGATCGCAACCAATGGGAGACAGGATCGGTGGCGTGGGATGACTGACTTCGCCATTACTACGGGCTTGCACTCAAGATACGTTATCTTCCCAACCTACCTCCATCACCAATGTAGGCGCATATACGCCTCACCCGCTCGTCATTGAGACTGGTCCTCGTTTCACTAGGCGACTTGGCACGACTGAACCATTGACGCCGATTTCGAAGACCGGGTAACAATCTACCGACGAATAAGAAAATCGGGCTGCCGACGAGATGACAATTTACTTGAGGCTGCGCTCGTTTCTTGAACAGTCTTTCATTGCGTACGAAAGCTTCCCACTTGGCTGCTCTACGTCTCTACAAGGAACCGTTGCGGCGTTCCTCCTATGAATATGACTTACTTGGGATGACAACAAGTCCTGCCAACGGTGGTACCCTGCATCATTGCAGCTGTCATATCGGGGCCAGAAAATATCTTTGGGCGCAGTCGGGGATACCGGCTCCTCGTATGATCTCAGTGACGTACTTGGCTGCTGCCAAAGTCCTGGCCCGATCTCGTGTGTTACGCGACCTGTGGAGGCCGTGAACATGTCTCCGTCAGAAAGGGATGGACTGCCGATTATACGACGGTTGGCCAAGGCACTATGCGATCCGAGCATCTCTCGAGCGACACAAGATCACTATCGCGGCTCGTTTGCCAATGAAAGATGTAGGCAGTCCCGGAGTCGACGATCGACCAGATGTATTGGGGGCGAACGTACTAGTCCCCCGCATCGGGACGTCTGGCAAACGCGTACCAGAATTGAAAGTGGTTTGCGGGCTTCGTCTATGAACAACGTATCGGAATCGATTGGTTGCATCGTCGCTAACTAGCATCTAATGTGAGTACCAGGCCTATCATGCACACAGAAAACGTGAAACCCGAAGACAATCGGAAAGGGCCATTCGAACGGACAACTCTCGACGCACCGAATCTTCAACAATTGAATTGCCGCCCCCGCGCGTTCTCAAGCGCGTCCACCCATCCCTGTACGCCGACGACACCACTTTCGCTCCAGTCATGCTCAGCATTCTTCTTCCCCGCCCGGACATCCATCCATTTCTCCCTGGCCTCACGCCCCGTCTCCGACTGACACTCTGGAATTAGAACCAGCCTCGTTCCCTCGCTCCCCTCAACCTCCTGTCTCACCGACTCCGCCTTCTCCCAAATTTCTGAAGCCAATCGTATTCTGTCGACGTAAAAGGATGTGTCCACGCCCACTGTGTACTGCCGAACGCTGGAGGGCAGCTGGGGAGTCCGTTCCTGAAGCTCTTGGTACTGATAGAAGTCGGGTAAGGGCAGCCCCAGTACGTCGCGCAGAACATAAATTTGTCGGACGGTGAGTTTCACATCGGACAGCCGGACGTGCGTGAGCTTCGATGGCGACGCGCGCGCGACGAACAGTGCGAGTCCCTGGTGCGCTGTGTCCAGAAGGGGACTCCATCCGAAAGCAAGACGCAGATAACGCAGGTCAGGGAATAAGCAAGGTGGGTCGACTCGTAGCGATGTGTCGTTGGGGACGAGTGGGTACCGTGGTCGCTCTGGATGCGCGAAGGTAAGGTGGGTAAGGCGCGGGAAGGGCGTGCTTAGGATGGTATGGTATATTGAGGCGCCATTGCTCATCCCGAGGCGGAGGGTGAGTGTTTCTATGGTTGGTGCCGCGATTTGGATGATCGCTTCTCCTGTGTTCAAACTCCAACATTAGATGTGCTCCGGTGAGCATGACTGAAGTATCCAACACGGACTTACCGACTCCGACTTTGGGCGCCTGTTCAGTCAGGATCATGAATAGATGGCGTATGCCGCATCCTCCGCCGGGGGAGGCCCTGCATATCTCAAGGAACCTGCTCGCCTTTGCACTGTTTGTAATGGCCACGGAGCGGAAGCGGTAGCGCTCGACCAAGGCGCAGCACGATTTGCATACCAAACGCAGCGAAGCTGCCGTCTTGCCCGCATCCTGGCACGCGTCGGACAAGATGTGCTGGATCAATTCGAGAGGGAGGGTGTCCATGACCGAGGATGCTGGCGTGGTCAGGTATGTACAGCGAGAGGCTGAACGTGTCAGCGCCGTAGGTCCAGCCCCCCTTTAATACTGTAACACAACTGAACCTGGAACGGCGGCACATTCCCCAACACGGTTAGCGCGCCCTCGGCGCGCTGGGTAACGATTCGGCTACTAGTTTCTGAAACCAGGGACCGGAGGCGAAGGTACGGCATACTAGTAATCGCGCGTAAGTTGCCGGGGGTAAGGCTATGCGTGTCTGCTTACCGAAACGTACGTTGAGCCGACAGTGTCGGGAGGAAGCCTGGACCTCGTAGGGTATTGAACTCGGATGCTTATTGACGGCACCAAAATAATCTAAGACAGAGGTCGATATGCGGTTCGCTTGCGGTCTCTTGCAAGTCCGGGATCGTCGTAATCCTGATCAGCATTGCGCCAATTCACAGCTGGGTATGCGCCGTGAATCGCTGAGCGGTCGAGACTCGAAATTATCGAACGGGAGTGAACGCCCTGAACGCGTAGGCCAAGTAACTACGAGAACTACATACAGGCAGGGAGGGATTCGGCAGACCTTGGCGCACCCGTCCCTGAGATGGTCAGTCCAGACATCACAGTCCGTAAATTCGGTGGTACCCAGGGACCCACACATGCGTCTCGTGTGTGACGCGCGCGTGACGAGCTGCATCATCAGCACCCACACAGAGTTGTAAGCATAGAGTCGTTGTTACGTGCGTGAGCGGGTGATGATTTGTGTCGACCGCGGGATAGAATTATTAGGTTGTGATATAGTTTGAGATAGCACCACAACTGTGCAGGCCACGTTCCAGCAACCAATGACAGATACGGTGAGTCTGACTTTGGTATTGGATTAATCTGCGGGAACGGTATCGGAATGACATAGGAGTACCGACTGGAGGAAGATGCAAGCACGAAGCACTTCCGTCGACGATCGGTGGCCCTTTGTCGGATGGCGGTTCGTCTGGAGAGGGGTCGTCTAAACGCAGGTACGGAGACACGTTGGTGCCGGTGATTGGAAGTCGGCAGCTCAAACAGATGGGGCGCAGTGCCACAGGAATGGTGACGAGCTGTTGAACAAGACGAGAATGTCGGGAATTTATGAGTGCCCGAGGCCGACGGATCTGGGCCAATGGATAGGACTTGAGATTAGACTGCACCACTACACCAGGAGATTCGGGAGACAGCTGTGATCAACGTGAGTAACTCGCTAAGTCGCTCAGCCGGAAGAGCCGTAGATCAACTTGGGAATACGAAAGACGGAGGATGAGAGGAGAGGAGCAATGGGGCCGCCGTCGGTATATTTGGAAGCGGGGATATAAATGCAGAAGGGGTAAAACAAGGTAGTTGCCGTATGCGGGAGTGAGGCTGTGGGTAGTACGCGTATATGCAACTTCTGCTTGAACCAGAAAGGCTGCCTTCTGGTCCAACTTGAGGCTGCATACACGCCAAGGGATGAGGCGCGACCGTGGGGCGCAGTTGACTTGTTCCGCATGGTTCGTTGGGAACGGATCACGTTCGCTCGAGGGTCGTTTCGCTTGGTCTACGATGTAATAACTCTAATGAGAGACTGCCACGGGACTTCGATCGACTGGGTGCCTCGCAATCGGCGAGTCAACCGGAAACCGTTGCAACCTTGCAGTGAGAATTTCGCAATTACGTCCGACCAGCGTATATATCGGCAAGGGCTCCTCAAGCTTCAAGCTCAAGAACAAGGAGTATCGGTACCTTGGGGTCGCATACTTTCTTTGTGACTGTGGGAACCAACGAGGTGACACCGTCTGTTTCTCATGATCAGGCTGTGGCAAACTGAACGGATCCCAATTTAGCAACATCCTTTCCTTTTTGGGTTATGTTTATCTTTCGTTCTCTTATCGTCACTCTTTATCACTCTGACAGCTCATATAGCATTGTGATAGCCTTCCGATGTATCTAGGTTGTTGTACCATACCATGTGAGCTTGAGGACCTTACGTACAACGCCCCCGTAGATACACCCCCATCTTTGCACTTGTTTGTTAGACGTGCTAAGTGGGGTGAGTTTGTATTCGTGAACCCGTTCGTTCATGGACTTACCATTACCTGTAGTTTACTTGTCTGTTCGTTCACAGGTAATGCGACATCTTTGCACTTGTTCGTTAGACGTGCTAAGTGGGTTTACTTGTCTGTTCGTTCACAGACGCGCACGTCTACGCAAAGGTCGAATATATTATATTATCTTCACACCCCCATCCCCGACTCCCACGGTAGTTGGGAGGAGGGTTCTGTCAGGAAGAAATGGTCGCTCCACCATACAACTCGCTCTCACCATGAGAACCTCATGTAAGCAATGGTCCCGATCGGACCGACACCACCACTGTTTCGTTTCAACTTGAAGACAACTGCCTGGACACACCTGACGTGAATGCAAGTGTGTAGCATTCGATAAAATGATGCACACAACCAAGTGAGGCTGATAGATGAGACTAGTATCTCTGAGCAGGAACCAGTAACTCAAGGAAGCCCCTTTAAATAATGATGTAGATATAAGACAGGACTATATGAATACTGTGTATGTGTCCATCAAGAGTGGCATTCTGCAGCTTGACCAGACACTAGTACTGGAATACTTGTTGGTTTCTGACTGGAATCAGGGATTGGCGCTTGCACTGCTACAATCTTGCACTTGTTCGGTTAGATGTGCTAAGTGGGGTGAGTTTGTATTCACAAACCCGTTCGTTCATGGACTTACCATTACCTGTAGTTTACTTGTCTGTTCGTTTACAGGTAATGTGATCATCTTTGCTAAGGTTGGGCACATGTGACACCGCGGCTCTGCCACACTGACCCCAATCCATACCTGCCTGACCGCACCTGTGGGTAAGGGTACAAAACCCGCCCGAGAGACCTCGGCTCGCTGGGTGCCCTTGGCTGATGCCCAAGGTAGGGCTTTGCGGGTTCAAGGCACCCTATTGAAGGTCCTGTTGGGCCAGTTTTTCTGTACACCTGGATCTGACAGTGCCATACGTATCACCGGGAACCAGCTTCCTGTGTTTTTGCTGCATTTACCCCTCAAAAATCACAAATTTCTGTTGAACTAGGTGCTGACAGAGCTGCAGGGTTTATATACACTGTGGCCCATAGGCTGACTAAGCTACATGGAATATCCCTAATCCTACTGAGCTCCACCTATGATGTCACTGACCCACATGAGCTCCGTGCCTTTGTACAATAGTGGAATATACCAGAATATTCCAGAGGGTTCCGGTGCATTCTGGTACGTTGTAGAACCTGGCAGCTAAGTCAGCGCCTAGTTCAACAGTTTTGTATAAATATTGTACCCTCCACCAGACCCGCGGGACCTGAGACCCATTGGGATGGTTTCACGGTAGCTCGCAGTTCAAGGGATTTCAGACCCGAGCCCGCACCCGAGCGACCCGCAGGCCCAATACTGCAGTGGTACCCGCCACCCACAATTCTCTGCACTTGTTCATCAGATGTGCTAAGTGGGTTTACTTGTCTGTTCGTTTACAGACGCGCACATCTACACAAAGGTCAAATATATTAAATTATCCTCACATACTTACGGGGAAAATGGTCCGTGGGGTATGCACAGAACGGGGAGCCAGCGAGGTAGTTGATAAAAAAATGGAGCAACGGCACAAGTCATGCATGTGGATGACTGCTAGAACCTGGGCACAAGATCGTCACGGCACTGTTGCACAACATCAGCAAAACGGCATGACCGTCTAAGCGAAGCTAAGAACTAATCTCAGGCAAAAACAGTACCAAGTCCATGGTCTTAAGTCATGGGGGCCCACCCCCTGAGCCCAGCACCGAGACTTAGCTAAGTCCTTGATTAAGGTGCTAAGAACACTCAGGCAAGAAATAAGTGGGGAGAGAACAGAAAAATGCTAGCACCACCAGGATCCGAACCAGCATCTGCCATACCCAACCATACAATATAACCATTGCACTACAAGGCTACACTAGTTGGTGCCCAAACCCATTTCAGCCTTTGCCTTGAATGATAGCAACTCCCAAATTACGAGTCTCCGCCCTTGTCTAGTGCTACTGGTATACATTACATGTACATCTATGATCAACAGAGCCATGTATATTGCTCTGCCACCCTCTACAGCATCGGCTAAGAAACTCAGAGAGTTAGAGCTAAGGAGCTCGGTAAGGGCGCCTTAGTGGTACTTAGCGCCTTAGCGTGGGCTGCCATTTTGCTGATGAACGTTCGGCTAGCGCTTGACCAATCCGCTCGAAGCATCAACCGCGTGTCCGAAGCACAGCACGTGTAGCATCTTCCAATCTCTCAACACCCATCTTCCCGCCTCCAACGCCGACTGACTCTCACCCATACCGTACCATGGACGCCCTGCCAGCAGAGCTCGTTGTGCAGATTGTGGAGTTTGCATGCACAGACGGCGGGCACACCGCGTGCGCTCTCCGCGCCACCTCCAAATACCTCTGCAGGGCGTCTGAGCCTTTCAGATTTTACACGGTAGCTTTGAGAAATCCCAAGCAATCGCCCTGTTTCCTAGAGGCCTTTAAGGATTCATCACAGCTCGCGCGGGCAAGCGCTCGCCACCTCTTCATTGCCATATACAAAGAAAACGCTCAAGTAGGTGCGCAGCGACGAGAAACCATCCGCCTGCTGGCTTCCGCTCTAACCCCACCCACCCTCGCTTCTGTTAGGAAACCTCATCCTCCAGTCCATCTCGCGCACCATTGAGA